GTACGGTGAGAGACAACCAACATTGGGGCACCATACGAATCACCAATCACATTACAAAATATAATACTCACATGTTAACGTAATCAACTAAACACATATAAAATTATACCTCGTTCGATCCGACACTACTTGAAGATGTCAATGCAGGGGAAGATACAGATACAGATACAGATACAGATACAGACAATGTCGACCAACAGGGTGTATGACGAACTCCAAGTCTAGAAAAACGTCGAAACTTTCGCCTCTGTTGCAAGTAATAATCAATCCTGCAACATCGAGACAAATTATGCTGACATCTGTGCATATGAGCGTAATTTCTGGTTACGATTAAAGAACGATGTCGAATCTACAGAACAAATAAATCAATTAGTGAAACCGGAATAAAATATTTGAGTCAACCAATTACAAAACGCATTATTAAAGTCCAAATTAAAAGGATTAATGAAAAAAAAATAGTATTAATACAAATTATTTCCAATAAAAAAATGAAAAAAATAGCGGCTCGGTGTCTTGAAAACAAATAGGTAACGGAAACTTACAAACTTGATTTGGATACGTCGTGGGTCTCTTTCCCTTCTCTGAGTCAGATAAACATCAAATACAATTAAAGGGATCCGTGTGTACACGAGATTAAAAAGCTGTCAAACAAAACAAAAAACTCAATTAAAACAAAAACCCAATTAAAACAATTCTGTGCCAATTGCCGAATAAAATAAAAATCCAATTAAAACAAAAACCCAATTAAAACAATTATGTGCCAATTGCCTAATAAAATAAAAACTCAATTAAAACAAAAACCCAATTAAAACAATATTTAATTGCCAAAAATACCCAATTAAAACAATTCCAAATAAAACAAAAACCCATCCATGCGTGTGCCCCACGAGAAATTAAAAAAAAATTCCAAATAAAACAAAAACCCATCCATTCACAATCCATTCATGCCAAACAAAGACAAAACGCAACTGCTTCCTCTTTTACACAGATATAAGGTGGGTTTGATAGAGATTAAGGTGTCGGTTTGATCCAGATCAGGGTGTGGATTTGCGACAGATCATGTCACGGTGACGATAGGTGCGTGGGTGCTCAGGGTGGGTTGGTTTGGGGTAGATGGGGTCACGGTGGGTGCGTGGGTGCTCGGGATGGATTAGTTTGGGGTAGATCGGGTCGCGATGGTGCGTGGGTGCTCGGGGTGGGTTGGTTTGGGTAGATCGGGTCGTGGTGGTGCGTGGGTGCTCGGGGTGGGTTGGTTTGGGGTAGATCGGGTAGCGGTGGTGCGTGTGTGCACGGGGTGGGTTGGTTTGGGGTAGATCAGGTCACGGTGACAGTGGGTGCGTGGGTGCTCGGGGTGGGTGGGTTTGGGGGTTCATAATGCTGGTACTGGAAACTAGAAAGTGAAATGGTGGTAATGCAAACTGGGAAGTGAAGCACTGAACCTAGTAATGGATTATTAGAAACTGAAATGGTGGTGATGGATACTAAGAAAGTGAAGAACTGAAAATGATAATGCCAGTTGAGAACTGAAGCACGAAGCTGGTGATGGATACTGAGAAACTGAAATGGTGAAGCAGTGAAGATGCAATGATACTGAGAAAGTGAAATGGTGAAGCAGTGAAGATGCAGTGATACTGAGAAAGAAGCAATGAAGATGCAGTGATACTGAGAAAGAAGCAGTGAAGATGCAGTGAAAAAAAATAAAAAACAAACTGTAACGGTCAAATGGTGAAGCAGTGAAGATGCAAGATACTGAGAAAGAAGTAGTAGCAGTGAAGATGCAGGATACTGAGAAAGAAGCAGTGAAGATGCAGTAAAAAAAAATTAAAAAAAAAACTGTAACGGTCAAATAGTTGTCAGGATTAAATTATTAGGATAGGATTCTGTAAATAATAAAACAAACAACATTTGCAAAATCCGGTCCAAAATACAGATAAAAATACTTAGCCAAACAGACCCCTTAATATTTATTTATTTTACAATGTCATCAATTTCTCATCACTATTATTCGATAATCTACCAAATTTATAATGTTTTTTATTTTTACTAATTAACATAGAAAATCAGTATTTATAATTAATTAAATAAACAAAGAAAAAAAATGTATTGTTATACTTGAACTAATAAATAATCGCGTAAAAACTTTCACTTAATTAAATTTTAATTTACAATAAACTAATTAAAAAAAAAACTATTTAAGGGTGTTTTCATATTTTTAATCAAATATTAACATAAAATGCTAACAGAACTTGATTAATAGTGGGAAAGTATAATTTTGAAACTTGATGGGTGGGAAAATCTCGTTCTCCCTGTTGAAAATAATATACGGTGACTATTAATGATTAAAGACGATGAGGGCTCATGGCTCATGCCATTAATGTCTATTCCAATGTTTTAAAACCCAACCCAGGGTGAAACCCGACAAAGCTTTCGGGTCCCGGGTTGACCGGTTTAATCGGTTTGACCACTGGTCAAACTAGTTGATAAAAACTTTTAAAATTAAGCAAATATACCCCTAAAAATTCGTTAAGTCCTTATTGGTTTGAAATTTATCAAACACACCCCAAATGCAAATCTACTGGCGACTGATTGGCTGCGATGACACCCCAGATGCAACCCCAATCGTCCCTTGAGCCCATTTTCATCAAAATATACCCAAGATCTGGCCGAAATAGGTTCGATTTCGGCCAGATCTCACCGACGTTAGCGTCGGCATTCCAGGCCAGATCTCATCGACGCCAGCGTCGAAAACCCTCCCTATCACCCAGGAATTACTCATCTTTTCCTCCCGACCAAAACACACCTCACCCCAACCCCGTTAACCTTGCCAATCGCCGGAAAAATCTCATTGTTGCCGTTGCCAATTTTGTTCGATTTCCGATTGATTTACTCATCGGAAATCAACTCCGTCGCCACCATTGCATTCACCAGCACTTTATCTTCAAAAGCTCCAACATTCAAGCCATCAATTGTTCGCCGATCATCCTCCTAAATCCCAGAGTTTTTGGTGAATAGGAAAAATATAAACTCGGCCCGTTAAAGCTTTCGGGTCCCGGTTCAACTGGCCAGGCCGGGTTTTAAAACATTAGTCTATTCAATCAAATGTAGTCCATGACAGCTGACACCCAAACAACATTGATGCAGTAACATCAGAGTCAGAATATATATTATATACTGTTTTATAAGTGGTAACGTTATCCCCATCAAAATAATTCTATTTTAAAAAAATATATACAAATTTTAAATATGATTTTTGCTCAATTTCCAACATCGCATCAAATGTCTAAAGTTATTAAGAAATAACAACTAATTTATTAAATAAACAAAGGATATAACGACAACTTGTGTTTCGATATGATTATCATACTTTCCTTTCAATTATCTTTCCTAACATACAAATCATTTTTTTTCTTCAATTTGGATATAAAGATCTATTTATCTAAGACTTTGTCACCTAAATAAAATATTCTATTCTATCTTTTGCTGGAATAGCCCAAAAATAAGTGTCCAAATTCCAAAAGTCTCGTTGGCGCTTTGTGACCAATTCCGAATCTAATAAAAATACATGTTTTTTAAAAGAAAAAAAAAAAAAATCTCCGTCCAAACCCACTTTGTGGGCGGTCACGTGAAAGAGCGGAGCAGTAATATGAATGGGGCGGAAACAGAATCGGGGCAGTTTGTTGCCATGGACGGAAGTTGAAAATAAGTGGCTTGACGAGCCTCCACTATTAAATTTTTCAAAGCTCAGAATAGTAAAGCCGGGTTCATAATTCAACTCCGTCCTGCATTTGTCACAAGACTGGAGTGAAACTACGTACCAAACGAGAAAAAAGTAATTGATGATAAACCCACGCGCAACATCGGTACATGAGGACACGAGAATATTTCACCGTCTACATCTGGGTGGCTGGGTGGGGTCTGCGCCAAATTGGACAACTCACTGTCAGTCCAATTGTACATGTTTCCGTGACGAGGAAAAAAAAAAGTTTTACACGCGCCATGCAGGTGACGAAAATGGCAGTTGACGAAGTGGTTCTTCTTATATACGCAAAATTGTGGAGTCAAGGGTGAGGAAACAGTATCAATAATAGAAAATGAAACCCTAGGCAGAAGCACGTGCAGAGCATCTGATGAAGAAGCACGCGGTGACGGTGATGGCGGTGGTTGTGTGAAAGTCCCACTGAAGTTATAGTATTTAGAGCCAGGGCATGTTAATGTTATAATAATACTAACCTCTCTCACTAACCTCATATGAAAATTTATGATTAGCTTAATTAAACGGGACTTATTATTGAACAGACGAGATTCATGTAAACTAACGAATTATGAGTTGACATATAGTATTAGTAAGAGAAAGTTAGTAAGAAGTATTAGAGATTGTAGTGTTACTCTTAATGTTACGGTTTGGGACGGTAACAGTGACTAGTTACTGACTATATGTGTGAAATGGAGACAACTGACTTTGAATTGAGAAAGGCAATGGTAATATGTGCCACGCATGTATTGCAAGCTATTCTTCGGTCTTTATAGAGGAGGAACACGCCAAGTCATCTTTCAACTTATGAGCCGCACTACTGGAATTATATATATATATATATATTGAACACGTGCGACTTTTAAAAAAAATTATGAAACACCACAGAAAGTGCTCCCAACACCTACACACAAATAAAGGTGGAAAAAGTATAATATAAAGACATACATTCAACATGTCAGTAAACGACAAACATAAAAGATGATAATTTAAAAGCAACCTAATTTATATCCTGTAAATAAATATTAAATATTAATGGTTAATTTAAAGTGATTATCGTAATTAAAATTTAATGGATGTTTAAATAAATCTTATTATTATTATTTTTAATAAAATATTAGTCCTGAGTCGTAAACGCACACCTTTCATGACTTAAAATTAGCTAGGGCTTTCTACACTAATGAATGGTCCCACGACGGCACCACCCAGAACTAATATAGCCCATTATAAAACTAAAGCCCCTTCAATTGAATCACATATTGTTATACAACATACAACACTTCCTCCTTTTATTAAATACGCCTCTCTCTCTCACACACTCTCTCTCTCTGCAAATACAACGCTACAGATTGCGATTCAAATGGCATCCACTTCTCTTTCTTTTCCTTCTCTGCAGCTTCAGTTCCATACTCCACAAAAAACATCATCATCAAAACCATACTCGCGTCGACTATCAATCCGTCCCATCACCGCCTCAGTTTCCGAGAAGCCATCTCTACAAGCACCACCGACCACGGTTTCACCATCTCAACAACCCACTCAACCTCCGATCCGAAAAATTCCAGGAAACTATGGTCTCCCTTTTATTGGTCCAATCAAAGACCGTCTTGACTATTTCTACAACCTTGGTAGAGAAGAGTTTTTCAAGTCAAAAATGCAGAAGTACCAGTCAACTGTGTTTCGAACCAACATGCCACCTGGCCCTTTCATCTCTCATCACCCGAACGTCGTCGCTTTGCTAGACGGTAAGAGCTTTCCGATTCTTTTTGACGTGACCAAAGTTGAAAAGAGAGATCTTTTCACTGGTACTTTCATGCCCTCAACCGAACTCACCGGTGGTTACCGTGTTTTGTCATATCTTGATCCCTCCGAACCAAATCATGGAAAACTTAAACAACTCCTCTTCTTTCAATTAAAGTCTAGCCGAGACAGGGTAATCCCAGAGTTTCACTCTACCTACACAGAGTTGTTTGAGACTCTTGAAAAAGATTTAGCCACCAAAGCTAAAGCCAGTTTCTCTGAAGCCAATGACCAAGCTGCCTTTAACTTCTTGGCACGATCCCTTTACGGTACAAACCCGGCTGATACTAAACTCGGCCTCGATGGCCCTACTATTATTCCTATATGGGTTCTCTTTCAACTCAGTCCAATACTCACTCTTGGCTTACCAAAGCTTTTAGAGGAACTGTCCATCCACACATTTCGTCTTCCTCCATTCCTGGTAAAAAAAAATTACCAGAGACTATATGATTTCTTCTACGAGTCATCAGGTACCATTCTTAACGAAGCAGAGAGGTTGGGCATCTCCAGAGAAGAAGCATGCCACAACCTGTTATTTGCCACTTGCTTTAATTCCTTTGGAGGAATGAAGTTTTTCTTTCCCAACGTGGTCAAATGGATTGGTCGAGCAGGGGTCAAACTCCACACGCAGTTGGCAGAAGAGATCAGATCAGTCGTCAGATCCAACGGTGGAAAAGTCACGATGGCCGCCATGGAACAGATGCCGTTGATGAAATCCGTCGTGTACGAGGCATTCCGCATCGAGCCTCCCGTACCGTTTCAGTACGGAATAGCCAAAAAGGATATGATCGTTTCAAGCCACGACGCATCGTTTGAAGTGAAAAAAGGAGAACTGTTATTCGGGTACCAACCGTTTGCAACAAAAGATCCGAAAATATTCGAGAGAGCAGAGGAGTTCGTGGCGGATAGGTTCGTTGGCGAAGGTGAGAAGTTGCTAAAGCACGTGCTATGGTCAAATGGACCGGAGACAGAGAAACCAACGGTGGGAAATAAACAGTGTGCTGGGAAAGATTTTGTGGTTCTGATTACCAGGCTTTTGGTGGTTGAATTGTTTCTCCGATATGATTCGTTTGAGATGGAAGTAGGAACGTCGGCACTGGGGTCTTCTGTCACAGTAACCTCACTGAAGAGAGCGAGCTTCTGAGTTGAAGGAGAATAAAGCAGTTATGTAGGGGTAATTTGGGAAAAAAGAGAGATGTTAATATGGTTGGGGGAGGGTTATAATGGTATTTCGTGGAGTTCAATTAATTAGCTTTGTTTTCAGTTGTGGATGTAGATATGATGATTGAGTAGTCAGTAGTTAATAATTTGGTTTGTTATTTTGATATAAAGTTTGTTGGGCGAAAAGCGCATTTACAAGAGTAGTCTCTTTCTGAATGAGTGGATGCAAATATTAATTCACTATGAAAATTATTTATTCTGATTTTTGCTTGTAAGAAATGTCTCTCATCAACTTAACATATTCTCCTTCTACTTATCAGTTCTCATGTACGTATAACTTATGCAAAAGTTGACAATATAACAAAAATGAAAACTTCTCTCTACTTATTTTGGCGGCTGAATTTTTCAGATTTACACCTCCTTTTCTTAATCCTATACTGGGACTTGGAGGAATGTTTTCAGCCCAAAAACATAGGAGGCCATTGGACCATTTTGTTCTCATTCAAATACAATACCATCTATTTATTTATTTCTTTTTTATTATTGGATGTATTCACACCAGCTTTAATTAATCATTTGAAGTCCTGGAATTATCAGTCTGGTAAAAATCCTAATAACTATCCCTATTAGTGTTTGGAGAGACTCGAAATTGAGGAGGAGCTCATGAAACTCCTTTTGTTCTTTTTATCATCAGGGCAATGCTGGTTCAATCCCATCTATTTTCTAATTTTTTCTTCTACCTCTTCTGCTCACAATCAACCAACCCAAAATCCCATCTCAGTTATTCATAAACATTAACGCTAGAATATTTAACTCTTCTCAGGATTATGCAGTACGATAATGTTTGATATCATGTATTCTAAGATGTTCTGGGTACAATTCTACTATAGTGACTGGTATTCAGATGAGTGGGTACTATTTGGCATTCTGTTCAATAATTGCAGTCAGATTCTCCCTATTTAATCTGAATATGGATTTAGTTAAGTTATTGAGCCCATTTAGATTTTGAATTATTCAATTTAATACTACTGAACTAATTTCTACTATAACATTTTCTTGTTTTTTGTGATCAGGGTGTTTGGATCAGTTTGTATACATCTTAACTATTCTTAGGGATCTATTGAACACCTTACAAACATTTCTACCATAACATTGCTCATCACTCATTGTGGTAATAGGAATAATAAACCTTTCTTTCTTTCTTTTTCTTAAACTGGGAAAATTCTAGAGAACTCTAAATTAATGTTATTTACCATCATGCGTTGTGGAAGAACCTATCGTTTCTGTATAAACAATATACTAAAAATGTCCAAAATAATGTTGAAATTAAGAAACTAGGGATCAAAGACGATCATCAGAAATCACTGAGCATCATCAAATACTTGTAACTCTGAAGAGCTCAAGGAGCCATGGTGAAGGGAGAAAACTGTTGCACTGCAATGCTGCATTGACAACACTAAATTAAAAAAATATGAACAGGAGATGAAGCCACTTCCCACCTTAATTAATTCAGTTCATCATTGAATTACAACATTACTTAGCAAACTATTTGATGAAGGTGAGCTTTGTTCACTTAACCAAGGATCTTGAACTGAAACAGGAGAATTTTCCTTCAATCCATCAATTATATCCACATTATTAGCTTCTGTGTGCAGCAGGAAAAAACCACCTCTACTCTCTATTCCACCTTTTTTAACAGAGAAACTTAGCGGCTTTTCGCTGATATTAGAAAAAGAAGAGCAAGGAGATGGCTCTGATGAAAAGCTGTACAAGTGATTTCTTCAGAAGATGCCCATCTACTCATCCTGATTTGCTCCAATTCAGCTGCTACCTCCATCATTGAAGGTCTCATGTCCCTGTGAAATGCAAGGCATCTGAATGCCAATTCAGCAACCTTATGAACCGAACAAAAGGTCCAAGCATCACTATGGGGCTCTAGAAATGGATCTATAATCTCGTCTAAACGCCCCTTCCCAATCCTATCAGAAGCAAAAGCAGCCAAATTAACTTCATTTTGAGGCCTAGAAAAGTCCACTACTTTCAAAGCTGTTATGATCTCAACAAGAACTACTCCAAAGCTATATACATCACTTTTGTCTGAAAGATGGAAATTCTGATGATACTGTGGATCAAGATATCCAGGAGTGCCTTGTGGTGCAGTGGAGATGTGGGAGATTTCAGTCTTACCAAGCCTAGATAAACCAAAATCTGCAACTTTGGACTTAAAGTTGTAATCCAAGAGTATGTTGCTAGACTTGATATCTCTGTGGTATATTGGAGGGTTGATAGCAGAATGAAGATGGGCTATGGCTTGTGCGGTTTCTGTGGCAATGGTGAGGCGAACTGGCCAGGCAAGTCCATCACCTCTTTCTCTTTGTAAATGTTGGCACAATGTTCCATTAGGCATGAATTCATAGACAAGGATTTGTTCACCATGTTCTATTGAACAACCTAAGAGGCGGACTAGATTCGGGTGGCTCACAGATGATAAGAGCTTGATCTCATTTACTACTTGCTCAATGCTGTCGGTATCTCTTTGTTTTATCCTTTTAATAGCAACCCATAAATCATTATTATGGAGCTTTCCTTGATAAACCGTGCCATAGGCCCCAGTTCCAAGCCTTTGCTTCTCAGAGAAACCGTTTGTGGCCTTCTCAATTTCTTTGTATGGATAGATGGGAATGCTGATGCCTGTAGCTTGAGATAGGCGGTGCTTTGTTCTGTTTCTGGTTTTTGAATAGGATCGCCTTCGAATAAAACAGCATACTACACCCAAACTTATAATCAAAGAAGCCCCGGCAACGCTACCTGAGAAAGAGAAACCATATTTAGCAGATGAAAATTCAAATTCCATTGTGTATTGAAATAAGACATGAGACCAATCTGATGTTATAAACCATTAATTCCTAACTGTTAGTTCGAGGCTATGAAAAAACTTAAAGAGAATTAATGACTGGCATTTTAACATGATACTTCCACCGATGTTAGAGTGAGCAATATATTAGAATAATTTCTGATGTTACAGAGATTAATACTCCAGGGTTTTAGCCCTACTAAATAACACTAGACTCCCAGTTATATGCAGAACATATATATTACTTGTGTCTTTCAGGATTAAATTGTCTTTATAGTGTTTCTGCTTAAATAGTCTTTTTGTTCTCTCTGTTTCTACCAACCTTGGAATCCATAATAGGTACAAAGGGGGCTTTGTTAAATGAAAAGCAACGAATTTAAAATGAAGAAAAAAAATTCTTTGGCGGTGTTGTTCAGTTGGTGAAAGGTAAGAAAATTAGGTACCTCCAATTAAAACAGCAGTTCTAATTTTTCCTCCGCATTGGCCAGAGATAAACTTTGCAGTGTTGCAGTCTGAAGAGGCTGTTTACATAACAAAATTACAAACAATCAAGGAATAGTCAAGTCATTTTCAGGTTAAGGAATAAGGATCGACTTTAAGCAGTGGATATAATTGTATTCCTTTTATTATATATTGATCAACGAGTTTAAGCAGTGGATATAATTGTATTTCTTAGGATGTAATGATCTGTTTAATCTCACTCAAAAGTGGTCATCCACACATATAACCAGACAATAAATTTGTCTATAAAACAACAGAATAATGATAGAAGGGTCCCCCATATGCATTAGGTGAAACTACCCATATGCATGTTCCTGTGTACATACTAAACTTGACTGATACTTGAATTATCTTTATCTTTTGCTCATACAAAACAAAATTCAAAAGAAAAGAAAATGAAGCTACCTCAAGAACATGATAACATTCCCCCTAGTGCTAATTGATTGAGTTGATTTCACCTTTTTTTAGCCTTTAACTCGAGATTAGCATGGCGGTTGAATGGCCAGAGGCCCACAGCGCACCATTTCTGGGTCCTGTTGGGGTCAACTAACTTTACTTTTTGCCTCGAAATAAGGCATTATAATCATTTAACACTTTCCGTTAAGAATTGCATTCAACTATTAGTCCACATATGTATCATTGCCGCGTGCCCCTTTTAATATGTAACTGTGCTACTTCCATACCATTATTTTACAAAGACTCGAGAAATGTTATGTACTTTCGTGTGAGTGGAGACTAGTCTGACTGGTAAAATGGAATCTAATGTTTTTATTATATCATTTCCATATCTTATAGAATCATAGATTATTTCATTAAAAATAATAAACTTAAGCAAAGTTGAATTGTGTGAAACTCTCTGTTCATGTGAGCCAATTAAGTTGGGACCTTAATTATCAACTGGCTTCAATTACGGTATGAAATCACACTCTTCATATATTTAATTAGTCACTAAATAAAATCACAAAATCAAGACTAAATTAACAAGATCAGGCAACGAATGAAACAACAAAATCCCTGGAAAACCAGAGAAGTACTGACCTTTATGGCAGCCTATGCCTGCATGATAGCCATCTCCTTGGAACCCTTGTTTACATTGGCATCGAAATCCTTGCCTTCCTCCGGGAGATAAAACCGGAGTACAATTTGCATCCTTGGAACAGTAGGACGATCCTTCTAGCCACCACCCCAGCTCCACAACCTGAATATCTAATGAAACTCCTGATATGGATGGCTCTGCTGATATGGACGACAAAAGATACTTGCACTGTCGCCTGGTAATATTATCATAATCAAGAAATCCATAATCTTTCTCTTCCGAATAGCAACTGATATTGCGGCTATCATTTGAGTCGCATTTAAATGAATGAAATTGAGTCTGCAGGTCAATTAATGAAGGTATTTCACATGTATTGACAGTGGAATTGCAGTCGTTTAAAAGTATGGCGTTTCTTGCTGTTGGGGCGTAGTTGTGGGTGAAGAGTTGGTGAAGGGTTTTGATTGAACGGATGCATGTGGGTTGGATGATAAGTTTTATGTTATCGCTGTTTATGGTTTGGACTGGAAACTCGCCTATAAAGATTTGACCTTTTGAGCTGCAATTCAGATGAATATGGCAACCGCTAGAGAATCCAAAAGGGTAGGAGACGAGGTTGTTGCCGCATGTTCTGTCACATTTTATAGATGCATGAACTGTGAGTACTGAAAACATATTCAAGATTCCCACAAAGAAGAGAATTTGTAGTTTTAGAGTCATGTTTCAATCTTAAAATAAAACTGAAACTGGTAGAGCGAAAGGAAGAAAATTTTAAGAAAGAAGAAGGAATTCAACTACGCTAAGGTTGAAGAAGTTGAAAGAGAATTTGAGAAAATGGAAATTTTATCGTACTTTATTGTTGCTGTTGAGTAGAACCACCATATCATACAAGGGCTTCGGCTTGGGAGGGAGAGAGAGAGAGAGGATTCATTTAGCGTGTGAAAGTTGGACTGCTACTTTTGGAAGATTGAAAATTTAATTGAGATTTTGTTACGTAAACGTAGTTAACATGGAGGGGTGTGAGTTTCAAGAGAAAGCGAGTGGGTATCTAACGTATTGACTGGTACGGATTTGAAAAAAAAAAAAAAAAAGATGAACAATGAAATCCATTAATGAAAGACTGAAGAGCAACTGTTTCCACACCTCTTTTCCGTCGTCTGTCTCTACTCCAACTATTCTTTGTTTCTTCAAATACCCAGACTTTTGCTACAAGATTCATGTAAAACTGTTGTACATATGGGGACAAGAGAAGGGATCTTTTGAATTGTCTGTTGCTTAGTTTTCTGGTGGTTGAATTCGCCACATCAATCCTCATCAAAATGCCTTTGTCGACTTGGCTCTTCTGCAGATTTTTAATTTTCATATGATTTAGTCCAGTATAGCTGGCAATGGCATAATACTACGTTAAGAAGTCAAAGTTGGTAAAACATTTTTGTCAGCATTACAGTTTCCGGTAACAGCTTAAATGCTTTAATTAATATAATGTACGAATTAATTTGTTTATTGAAAGTCAAAATATTGAATCACGGCCATCATTTCATTGTCAACAATTAAAGTAAATAGGGTGGTGGGTATGAATGTGGGACCAAGGCTTTTGAAGAGTGATCCATGAACGTGATCATGATTTAATACCATATCACTCCCAATTCCCAATTTCCACTATAAATTATCCATTCAATTACCCATATAAATTAATTTTTGACATTTGTTTTACATGAGTATTATGCTAGGCATTATTAAATTGAATTTAAAAGATGTTGATTAAGGCGTGTTTGAGTGTAATTATTGTTGTTGATTAAGCATTAGTCCCTTTAACATATAAAATGAAAAATATTTAAAGCATTAGACTATTAAGAGAATCCAAAAGTGGTTATCGTATTCATACCTGTGCCCTAAAGCCTGAAATTTGGGACCTAGCCATCCATCATACATAGAATAAACAACATATTCGCACCCAAGGTTTGATGAAATCACAAGTTGGTACCCTAAATTATATTTATTCTAATTCTCACCCTTAAAATAACACTGTTAGCAATTTTTAGGGTTTAAGGGGTGCAATTACCATAATTACCCTTAACCTAAATTAATAAATAATATTTTAACCCCTAAATTAGGATAGTTAACTTACCATTTTATTTTTAAATTATCTCAATAACACCCTCGGTCACTACACACTCTCTTGATTTTTGCCCGATCTGGGTGTTTGCGATGGCATCAAACCCCCTGGTTACCTCCATCACCTTCCTCATAGTTTTTCATCTAAAACCCCTCTGGTTCCCGATTCATTGGCCCCTCCAATCGCCGGCGCCGTTAGGCTTAGGGTTTCTCTGTTCTTCGTTGGATTCTGGTCGATTCCGACGGCAAAATTTCAATTGACCCCTATGTCCCCAGCAACCGTTTAGTCACCGTTCACTGGCCGAGAGTTCGTGTTCATCGATCATTTTTTGGTGAAGTGGTGGACGGCAAACGGTGAGCTGTCGTGGCTAGGAAGGTTAGGGGTTTTATAGGGGAGGATGTGAGGAGTCAAATGGTGGTGGTGGTTGGGGTTTTCGCCGTTCAAAACGGTCGAAAATCGACAAAAACCAGTCGCATGTCGCGACTGTTGTGGCCGGTGATCAGCGAGTGATGAGGGGTTGTGAAGGGTAAGGTTTTGTATAGGAGAGCATGGGGGTTCAAATGGTGGTGACAAGAGTGATTTTGGGTGAAAGAATCGCCAAAAAAAAGGCAAAAAATGTCGGGGATGTCGTCTGCTAACATGTGCCAGAGGACTGTTAAAGGCAGTGATCTGTTAACGTGCGCCGTCCATGCAAAATGATCAATCTACCCTTTCCGTCACTTTAAGGGTGGGAATCTAAAATAAATGTAACCAGGGGTACCAACTTGAGATTTCGTCAAACCATAGGTGAGAATTATGTCGTTTACTCTCATACATATAACAAACTCTCTGTGCAATTATTTATTTATAATCCCTTCTCTGTTACTCTTCCTTCTTCAACTTAAACACTAATGTCTGTCCAAAGATTTTTATTTTTTTTCAAACACTAAAGATAATTAATTAAGAGTGGTGGGGGCTGGCTGGGCACTAGATTTCAAAAACTGGTTGTTGAATAACAAGTTTTTAAAAGATTTTGTTAATGAAAAGTTGCTATCACACAAAGCTAGGCAGAATAAAGAGCAATAAATCAGGTTTGAAACCAGATTTTAGGTGAGTGTGAAGTATGAACATACAACCTAGCTAGGTGTGGAAACAAAAACATCAATTCTAAATTCTTGTCTCAATGCTCGAAAATTGGGTTTGTAGNTCCATTACCCATATAAATTAATTTTTGACATTTGTTTTACATGAGTATTATGCTAGGCATTATTAAATTGAATTTAAAAGATGTTGATTAAGGCGTGTTTGAGTGTAATTATTGTTGTTGATTAAGCATTAGTCCCTTTAACTTATAAAATGACAAATATTTCAAGCATTAGACTATTAAGAGAATCCAAAAGTGGTTATCGTATTCATACCTGTGCCCTAAAGCCTGAAATTTGGGACCTAGCCATCCATCATACATAGAATAAACAACATATTCCCACCCAAGGTTTGACAAAATCGCAAGTTGGTACTCCAAATTATATTTATTCTAGATTCCCACCCTTAAAATAACACTGTTAGCAATTTTTAGGGTTTAGGGAGTATAATTACCATAATGCCCTTAACCCTAAATTAATAAATTATATTTTAACCCCTAAATTAGGATAATTAAACCTACCATTTTATTTTCAAATTATCCCAATAACACCCTCGGTCACTACATACCCTCTCGATTTTTGCCCGATCTGGGTTGTTTTCGACGGCAACGAACCCCCTGGTTACTTCCATCACCTTCCTTATAGTTTTTCATCTAAAACCCCTCTGGTTCCCGATTCATTGGCCCCTCCAATCGCCGGCGCCGTTAGGCTTAGGGTTTCTCTGTTCTTCGCTGGATTCTGGCGGCAAAAATCCAATTGGACACCATCACTTCAACCAGCGTCTCTAACTCTATAAAACCCTTATGTCCCCAATAATCGTTTAGTTGCCGAGAGTTCGTGTTCATCGATCGTTTTTTGGTGAAGTGGTGGATGGCAAACAGTGAGCTGCCGTGGCTGGGAAGGTTAGGGGTTTTATAGGGGATGATGTGAGGAGTCAAATGGTGGTAGTGGTTGGGGTTTTCGCCGTTCAAAACGATCAAAAATCGACAAAAACCAGTCGCATGACGCGACTATCATGGCCGGTGATCAGCTAGTGATGAGGGGTTGTGAAGGTTAAGGTTTTGTATAGGAGATGATGGGGGTTCAAATGGTGGTGACAAGAGTGATTTTGGGTGAAAGAATCGCCAAAAAAAGGGCAAAAAATGTTGGGGATGCCGTCTGCTAACGTGTGCCGGAGGACTATTAGAGGCGGTGATCTGCTAACGTGCGTCGTCCATGCAAAATGACCAATTTACCCCTTTCCATCACTTTAAGGATGGGAATCTGAAATAAATGTAACCAAATGTACCAACTTAAGATTTTGTCAAACCTTAGGTGAGAATTATGTCGTTTACTCTCATACATATAACAAACTCTCTGTGCAATTATTTATTTATAGTCCCTTCTCTGTTACTCTTCCTTCTTCAATTTAAACACTAATGTCTGTCCAAAGATTTTTATTTATTTTCAAGCACTAGAGATAATTAATTAAAAGTGGTGGGGGCTGGCTGGGCACTAGATTTCAAAAACTGGTTGATGAATAACAAGTTTTTAAAAGATTTTGTTAATGAAAAGTTGCTATCACACAAAGCTAGGCAGAATAAAGAGCAATAAATCAGGTTTGAAACCAGATTTTAGGTGAGTGTGAAGTATGAACATACAACCTAGCTAGGTGTGGAAACAAAAACATCAATTCTAAATTCTTGTCTCAATGCTCGAAAATTGGGTTTGTAGCGTATTCAATGGTTTTCTGGATTAGTTGAGATGTGTGCAAGCTAACCCAAACACCCAGTTATCAAAAAATAAAAAATTTCTAAATTCTTATCTCAATCTCCAAAGGGAAAGGAGAGGATATAAGAGGTGTTTGTCTCATTTTATAAACTGATTAAACTAGCTTATAAACTCTAAAATTAAACTAACCTATTTGTTTATAATTTTTTTGGACTTATAAGCCCAAAAAAAAAGTTTGGGAGAAGATACTTTTTTTTTTTTTTTGCTTATAAGCTACTTTGACCAAGTATATTACTACATTACCTTTTTTTTATTTTAAAATTCTATCATATACCTTTATTTTTAATAATATAGTATCATTTTTAGTTATTTTAATAATAAAATATATTTATAAACCACATTTTACCAAATGTTTCAACTACTTATCAATTACCTATAATTACTTTAACCAAACACGTAACTGTTTAAATTTTAAATGCTTATAAACTCAAATCACTAACGGCTTACAAACTAATTTTTATAAATTCAGTCAAACACACTCTTATGTATAATCCGTTAAAGAATCCAAGTTTTGGCCCAAAACCCATAAGAAGGTAAGAATAGAAGGCCCATTTGGCTACACATATCCAAACCAGTTAGAATGGTAGAGGCAGCATTACACACCATTTGTCAGATTAGGTACCAATTTGTTTTAAATTTTCCCCAACTGGAAACTGGGAATAAAGTAGCACTGGGGTGAATGTTCTTCGATACACACCTATTTATGTATCTTATCTAGTTATCTGTAAACCACCAGTCATTCATAAATGCCCATTATGTAGTCGAGATTAAGAGAAATGTATATTGTCATCTTACAATAAGAGATCAGTATGAAACAATTAAAAATGCAACATGAAAGCAAGATGCTCATGATTTAACAAAGCCATTAAAGTCAAAACTATATATTCCAAGGTATATGATACAGTAATTAGGCAAATTTCACTTCCAACACAAAAACAAAATTAAAGCAGATTCTTCGAATATTTACTTTATTAATCTGGATAACTGATATTTCCTTTCAGAGATTCCTCTCCTTGCAACTAAACTAATCAGAGTTATTGAACCATCTATTTCATGTGGTTTCTAACATAGATTTGTATTGCTGTAAAAGAGTGGATGATACATTAAAGAAGTTGGAGTTTGGATTGATGTCCGTTTTGATATCGACTTGTCGACTGGGTTTAGTGAAACGGAGAACTGGAAAAAATATTTCATAGCGAATCCAAAGCCCAACAGTAGTATCCCTAACTCTGGCTATGTAAGTAAAACAGAAAAAGGCCCAGTGACCATTGGTACCCAAAATGGTAGCTATAAGAGATCGTAATCTTGAAATAAACTGCTTTCAAATGTACAAAGTGATTACTATTATCTCAGTTAAAAGAAACATAAGAAGACATAAAAGTAGAACACAGTAAGGCTACAAAGAAATGTGTATATACACTAACACAGCAGCAACTCCAGCTACTAGCCAGAGAAGAGTTATTAGCAGGTAATTTAAGGAGCAGAAAAAGCATCATCCACCCATTTCATCTCGTAGACAGAGACCTTATCGGTAGTTTTAACCGATTGGGGCCAGCAAACGAGACCTTGGACAGTAGTTTTGAGCTTATTCATGCGCTTACGATGACGAATACGCCTCAGAACCTCATCTTTTTCTAGCGTTTGCGACGTCTGTGTGGGTCTTAGAAAGAGATGGGTTGTAACAGAGTTGAGGTTTTCTGGGTGCTCTTGATCTCCAGTGGTGTTGTTGTTGTTGTTCTTGTCATCAGCTTCTGAGATTGTGGGTTGGGTTTTGGGAACCAATGAAGTACTCATTGTTGTAAGTAAGGAACAAAGCACACAAGTTTAACTCTGTAAGTGAAAAATGAGAGACATGGAATGGCCATGAGATTATTATATTTATAGATAAATTATAATAAGATGTAAATATTTACTTTGGTCGGTTTTGTTGGATTCGAGGAGGCCTTGAAATTGGTAGCAGAATCCATGTTTTTTCAGAACGTCGGTGTCCAGGCTTTAAACTTGTCTCCGTTATTTTATTATTTTAATACATGCTCCAGTCACTCAACATCATCTCTGGGTATTTAGCCTAAAGTTTTATATATATATATAAATCATAAATAAATATAAGACTTCAAAATAATCGGCTCAAATAACTAAAATTTTACTATATGATCACAAACGAAGTGATTTAGCCCAAGTCCATTCTCCCTCATCAGACTTCAAATTCAAGTAAAGAATATCAAATCTATCATATTTAGTTAATAGATAACTACTTGCACAATATAAGCGTAAAAGTTTATGCACATTATTTATTTATTGTTTAAAGCATAATTAATTTATATGGTTTAAGATATATGAAAATAACTTTTTCTTTAAAAAAATGAAAAACGTCGTGACCGTGGCTAGTTGTTGGGTTTGCAAGAATAATTGGGCGTAAAAGTAAAACCATGTTTATATAATTATTTTAAAATCACTTTCAATTAAACCAGTCGGGCTATTAAAAGAATGAGCAGAAGACCAGGAAATTCATATTGTTGTAATTCTACCTCATGCGTGAGGGCGGTGGAGACAACAAAATCATGGTGGCAATAAGCAAATCACATAAACATCCTTAATTCTATATACCATGTACATGTTCTCTTTCCAAAGTAAACCCAGTAATGCTCCATGGATTGTTTCACGTACTGTAGGACACGCGGCAATTAATCAGTAGGTGTAGCTCTTACTCCTAGATGTTCCCGATCCGATAAAGGGTGACAACTGAAAAACAGGTGGAAGAGATAGAGTGTATGGAATTTAAAGAAAAAGAAGGTTAAACGACTAATGTTAACGTGGCGGTTACATGGGCTGTCTTGGAAATTGAGTGGCACGGTTGTGGTGGTCCAAGTGGCCGAATGTGGCCAAACCTAATACAAATTGTGGGCTGTCCACCTTCGGCTGGTTTGGTCAATTTCAGGTAATCCTTTTAACCTTCTTGGTTTGATCAATTTGGAAGCAAGCGAATTCCTCACTTAATGTATTTTGTTTTTTTTTTAATGAGGGTTTGGATTATATCGTTAGTTGTGAAACATTTTGAATCACTACATTGTTCAGCTAAATCTGTCATGTTTGTACATACTTTTGTATTTTTGTTTGAGAAGAAAATGAATAATTTCTTATTTATTAAGGAGAGGATCAGAGCCCTTGCTAACTGGGCAAAAGGGTTGTTGCGACGTTAAAGGTGTCCAGTGATTTTTTAACTTTTTTCATAATAACATGAATGCCGTTTGGATTCAGCAACTCTGGATTCTGATCCAAGTTTAAATATGCAACTTGTTCTTTAGCCCAATGCCGACGAGCATTTGAATCTATCACTCTCATCTTTACATTTATGAACACCAACCCATGCACGATGCACCAATTCAATTTGTACGATCAGTTGCTAAACTCACAACCGTTAAAATGTCTTCCACTTAAGATCATTATAATATACCATTAACAATAATATACTTCCAGTTAATGGTATATTCTAATGTCTTCAATTTCGATCGTCCATTTCCTGATTTATTTGATATAATACTTACATTGGCACGCCTAGGAACTGCTTTGCTGCCTTCTTTTAATTTTCAAACCATTATAAATCACTGCACTTTCACCTCCACTTACAATTTTTTTGTTNCTTAAGATCATTATAATATACTTCCAGTTAATGGTATATTCTAATGTCTTCAATTTCGATCGTCCATTTCCTGATTTATTTGATATAATACTTACATTGGCACACCTAGGAACTGCTTTGTCTGCCTTCTTTTAATTTTCAAACCATTATAAATCACTGCACTTTCACCTCCACTTACAATTTTTTTTTTGTTTTTTCGTACTTACTCTTCAATCATTTGTTCAATAGTTGATTCATATTGGCCACTACTTAATAATGTTACCCTGCATGATTGTGGCACTTTGGCTCATACAAAAAATGCTTGTTTAAAACTCCATATATATAAATTTAGTCAAATCCAAATTCAGTACGTCTCAAATTATGTGGACGATTAGAAAAACACAAATTATTCAAAACAAAATCCAACCGGGTCCACTAGAACAAACGTGGCGGTATATGATTCGACCATATCAATCCTTATTGCCATATACAGTAAGCCTTAAAATACAAGGTAAATTAAGATACAAAAGCAGAAACCGTTCAATAATAACAGCAACCCAAACTAATTAAACTAACTATCACGTTATTATTAGAATCAGACCCTGATTTCCCGGACCCAAAAATCTATCTTTTTTACGAAATCATTAGGCATTGGTCGTACACGTGTCCTGATCTTAGGTTGTTTATGTCTTAAAAACCGTTTGTATTTATATATAAAAAGTCCCACTCTCCTCTCCCGCCTTTAGCTCTTTCGTTCTAGCAACTCCGCTCTTATTTCTATGCCACAAACATTCATTCCTTCACTTGCGTTGATTTGGTTTTTACGTTTACATTCTTAATTTTTATTCTTTAGCTTTGTTGGATTGGAATGAGAGACGGAGGAAGTACAATGTTTGCTGAATCTAACGGTATGAATCAAAGGTCGAGTTTTGGCGGCATATTGCACTCAGATCCAAATCTATCTTCAACTACACACAACGATGATGATTTTAATGTCCGTCCTAGCAGTGCTTCCGCAGTTACTCAATCCTTTTATGACGCCTCTCGGATGAGCTGCGAGGGTTCACCCATGCAAATGTCTCCATGGAACCAAACCTCACCCTTTCAAAATTCTCCATGGACCCATTCCGATGACAACCTTCAGCAAGACGGTCTCATCGGCTCCCTTATACGTGAAGAAGGTCATATTTATTCCTTGGCTGCAACCAAAGACCTCTTATACACCGGTTCTGATAGCAAGAACATTCGTGTTTGGAAAAATCTTAAAGAATTTTGTGGTTTCAAAGCAAGTAGTGGTCTTGTTAAGGCCATAGTTATCTCCGGTGAAAAGATTTTTACAGGTCACCAAGATGGTAAGATTCGTGTATGGAAAGTCTCTCCAAAGAACCAAAGTGTCCACAAGCGAGCCGGCACGTTACCAACCTTGAAGGACATATTCAAGAGCTCCATCAAACCAAGCAATTACGTTGAAGTGAGACGTCGTCGTACTTCACTCTGGATCAAACACTCTGATGCGGTATCGTGTATGAGCTTGGATGAAGATAGTGGCCTCTTGTACACGGCCTCATGGGAAAGAACCTTCAAAGTATGGAGAATTTCAGATTCAAAATGCCTAGAATCAGTCAATGCTCACGACGACGCTGTTAACTCAGTGATTTCGAGCTCTGAAGGTACCATCTTTACCGGTTCAGCCGATGGCACCGTCAAAGTATGGATAAGGGAACAACATGGTAAAGGAACAAAGCACGCCCTTTCCCGTACATTACTAAAACAAGAATGTGCGGTAACGGCTTTGGCAGTGAATACCTCAAAGTCCATCGTGTATTGTGGGTCCAGTGATGGTCTGGTCAACTTTTGGGAACGTGAGAACCGGTTATGTCATGGTGGGGTCCTTAAAGGCCACAAGCTTGCTGTTCTATGTCTAATGGCTGCAGGGAAATTGGTGTTCAGCGGATCAGCGGATAAGACTATATGCGTGTGGAGGAGAGATGGTACGATTCACACGTGTCTCTCAGTGCTGACGGGGCACACTGGACCGGTGAAGTGCTTGGCAGCTGAGGAGGATCGTGAATCATCGAGTCGAAGTCAACGTTGGATTGTGTACAGTGGGAGTCTTGATAAATCTGTTAAGGTTTGGGGGGTATCTGAGATGGCTCCTGATATGGCTAAGATTCTGCAGCAGCAGCAAATGTCATGATTTTCATGGGCACCCTATCGTGCAATGGGAGCTAATCTAGCCCGAACAAGAGGTAAAGGTACATATCCCAAGAACTCTGGGATTTGAAATCTTGGTAGTCTTTTATCCCACGGCTTCTTATCGTTAGAAACGTGTATTTAAATATGCAATTTCAAAGCGAGGATGGGGACAAATCTTTTGTTGTTGGTTTTTATATTATATTATCGGGGTCTGTATATGCTGGGCTAGAGGTAGTTTTTTTTTTTTTTTGGTTTGGCTACAACGTGGGAAAAAGACTGTTTGTATACTGAAATCTTTTTTTTTTTTTTTTTTTTTTCTTCATTAATAATATTGTAAGACTGGTTTGGAATTTGAATGGGCGATCAGGTATACCGTATATTGATTAAGAAACATAAAGATGCACGACCGCTTTTCTACTTAAAATTCTGCTACCTTTCCAGGGAAAAAGATATCCCCAAAATGCGCATAATTTTTTGCTGTTCACTTTTGTTTTGACCACAACACCTAATCATTCACTGATGATAGTGTCTGCCGATTCTTAATTCTGTCAATACAATAGATTAGACCCTTTCAGTATGAAGCACAGATATAAGCCTAACCTAATTTTGTCAGTCTGTTTGGAGCAAACTCCAATACAAAACATATATAGAGCGTTATCTAGGCGCAATAGACCTGGTTGGCTTGTCAGGGAAAACTTGTATCGTTGCTTCTAAGCTGCTAAATTCAACAGCCTCAATCATTCTGTCTCCTCATATAGTTTATAGATAATGACAGGGCACATCGACCAATTCTGAAAATGCAGTCTAAAGTCTGAACCAAAAGTAAGAGTTTTAGATGCAAAAATATTATACAACTTATTACAGCCCATGACATGAAGTGATAATAACACATAAAATTGCATTAAGCAAAACACTCTTTCATAAGAAGCTAGTGTCATAAAGGAAACAAGAGGTGAGAACATCTTACCAGACCGGAATGGATTGTAAAAACTATTTTGCCTAGGATGCAAAAATATACAAGAATACTCTCATATTTCTTTTCAGAAATTTACACTTTTGTTTTCCTGATTTGACACGTTGTGAAGAAGGTGAACAGATTGTACAGATGCACTTGTGACACTTTCAGAATTTTTATACAAAGTTTATAGCATGACAATTATGTTTGGAAAAAATAGAGAAGAAATAGCCACAAACAAAATGGGATCATGTAATCAATGCTAAGACTTGGGATGATTGCGACAGAAGAAAGCAACTACCATGGAAATTTAATTATAAGAAATATTTAATGTGAAAGCCTACGACAGTGGGTTCTCCTTTCTTCATGTTGTATGCTTGAGCTCAGGCCAGGCAGATGACCACTTCTGTTACCGACAGAGTTCAAGTCCAAAGCCAGTGGTACCGCTGTCTCTCCTCCTTCAAGTATTCTAAGGACCTGAAATATTACAAAATATAAGTGAATGGCTCTTGAAACAGGTAAATCATATAACTAGAAACCCCATGAATCCAATAGGGAATTCAAAATAATCATGACAGGACACCATACCTTCGACATTTGGGGTCTAGACTCTGGATCAGGACATAAACACAAGAAGGCAGCGCGGGCCATAGCCTGTAGTTGATGGGTGAAGCTCTGGACTTGATTAGAGGCCAAATATGGGTCAATTAGACAATATATCTTTTCTAGGATAAGGCCTGGTTCTAATGCGGCCAGAGGGTGGAACCAGTCTGACAACAAATGCTGTCCCTTATAACATTGCAACTTCTTGGTTCTTTGACCTGTTATTAGCTCTAATAATACCACTCCAAATGCGTATACATCAACCTTTTGTGTAATTCTTCCACCATCAACATATTCTGGTGCAAGATACCTGCGTGTGAACATACGCCAAGAATTAACAACAGACCAGTTTTCAAGTTTAATTTATTACTTACGTATATCAAGTGCATATAATTAGAGTTTTAGTTTCTGGCCTTTTAGGGAACACTGCGTAAGCCAGAGTTTACTTTAAAGATTAATGAAACATCAGGCTAACAAAATCAATTCACTTATGTAGATAGGAAGACAAATGTATATACACAAGACAATTACGTATCACATGTCATTAGTACCCTGATGTTCCAATGACTTGTTCCTCTGTATTTATGCTCCATTCAGAGTGCCACCTAGCAAGTCCAAAATCAGCTACCTAACAAAACAACAAAACAGTTGAAGAACGATGGATATTCTGTAATACTTGCTATAAGTATGGTAAGAATTAGAAAAAAAAAATATATATATATTCATGTACCAGAGGTTCAAAATCATGAGTGAGGAGGATATTGTTAGGCCTCATGTCTCTGTGCACTATACATCCAACTCTACAATCTTCGTGAAGATACCGTAGCCCTCGTGCTGCTCCAATTGCTATCTTAAGTCGAGATTGCCAATCCAGTGGGGCTCTTTTATACCCTGTCAAAAAACAAAAGTATAACCAAACTCGAGTCAAATTCAAAGGCGATGGAAGCAAGGAATATTGAACACACGGGAGTAAGGTTCATAGGAACATGCATATTACTGTATACCTATGGACGGTAATTTTTGGAAAAGAAAAAATACACATATAAAAGAGAAGGGAAATACCGTGTAAATGGAAGTCCAAGGAACCATTGCATATGTACTCATAAACTAAGACTCTCCTCTTGCTGTCAATACAAAACCCAATCAGCAATACAACATTCCTATGTTGGGCACAGCTTAAAACTCTCACTTCCCTACAGAAGTCATTATCAGCCTGTGAACCCTCAAACTTTAACAACTTCACTGCAACCACTTGGCCATCTCTCAAAATTCCCCTGTAAACAACTCCAAAACCACCTTCTGCCAAAAAATTCATTCTTGAAAATCCGTCTGTAGCATCCTCGAGCTCCTCATAGGAAAAGCTTCTTGGTGGTTTTCCAAATATTGGTGCCTTGTGTTGACATAGGGAGCATAATGGTGGAGGTATTGAGGATGTTCTACCTAAAGGGACTGCATCCCTGATGGTTGAACCTGGATTTATACTGTGGCCTTTATGATGGCTTTGATTGAATTCTAGTCTACCAGGCTTTGTATCTTGATCATACTGAATAAACTTATCAAGCAGGGATCTGGAAGTTGGAGATCTACTTTTGTGAGTATCTCCATAGTTCTGGGGTTTCGGTGGCTTCTCATCAACAATGTGGTTTTCGGGAATCCAAAATGCACTCTTGCAGTTAGAAGCTACTGGTGGTGCTGAATTTGTTGATAGAGTTATTAGCCTTTGTTTCTGGGAGTCTAGAGCCATAAGTGGGTCATCCAAGTGGCTTTGATTATTTATTGGTGTGTAATATCCTCTATCCATTCCTTCAAAAAGGGGATTTTGTTCATAGACTAGGAAAAGTGATGTCATTGTATCAAAGGTCGTTAACGATCCTTGTTTTGCGGGTCTTGAGGAAGAAGTGATACGTCTTTCAGGACTGCTTACTGGAGTGGAATTCTTCACGCTTTCCGCTAGTAACTTTCCAGTTTCCTCAATTGGTGAAGCAGAAGCTGAGAGATATGGAGTTTGGTCATCATTTGAGCCTTGTAAATTAAGCCTAAGGACTTTGGCTTGAGAATTTTTCATTACTACGATGTTGCAGTGAAGTTCCTCCAAGCAATGTTTCAGCTCTTGCTTTAGTTTTCTGTTTCAGCAGAATAAAAACCATGAAGCACTTACTTCCAATCTCGTTATTCTGGGACAAGTGACAAGTAGGGTAAAAATATGATTTGGTAGCAAAAATGATCGAAGAACATAAGAAGTTGAATGCCAAAGTCTCATAGAGATCACACATTTCAGCTCGAATAAAATGGAATTTATGATTAAGTTGAACACCAAAAGCCTGAATCAATTGACTAGTGAGAAAATGAATCAAAACAATATGCTAGCTAGTATAAAGTCCTAATTACTGTCCGTCTGTACCCTCACACCAGTTTTCCTTGCTAAACTTTGGATTAGGAGTGAGCTAACTATGTTAGAACTTAGAACCGGCTAGACATAAGGTTAATTCTTGAACCTTGGCCTAATTTAGTCCTTGTCTTCAGTGTTTTCACAGTTTAAAAATAACATGAATGTTGGATGTGCAAATTCAGAAAGCATTATATTTAATCCCTTATGAACCGACTAATATCGACAAATAATACAAACTACAAAGACAAACAGCCTACCAGCAGATCATAATTATAAAGAATCATTAAATAGTTTTTAAAGAGGAAAATAGATGATTAGCCACCACCTAACCCATTTAATCAAAAGCTCATAAAAAAGAAATAATACTTTTTTATTATGATTAATTACTTGTCCAGTATGACCCAGTTGGCTCCGTTGCTGCTTGCCTCAGTCGCCACTGCACTTCCAGGTGTACCTGATACCACCTTAATCGTCACTCTAACCTACATTCACCACATCATTATTAGCTACTTCCATAATTTTTAAACCAGTTGTTGCTTAGAAGATAAAGGCAAAACCTCCATTTTGATTGTTCCGTGCCTCTTTCAGGTTATAAAAAATTGAGTGAAAAAAAAAAAAAAAAAAAAAAAAAAGCATAACTTTCACATGCCAACAGGTTTTCACCTACTCTGTGAAAAAAATCACGTAGTGCAGTTATGAAGTGGGACACCACGTTTGATCATGATTAGTATTTTGTTAATATTATAATGAGCAGTAATATATTCTGAACTTCAAAGTTCAAATTAACAGGCCATAACAAGTTTCTTTTCATGGGGTCTACAATCGATCTTCACAGCAACTTCTAGGCACATGCCATTCCCCGAATAATAATAATAAAAAAAAAGACCCCATTTCATTTAATTCATTAAGTTAATTTGTTTGCATCTCACCAACAACAGATCTTAAAACCTGTTTGGCTTCCATGAATCTTCCACACTCTGACACTCAAATCAACTACCAGTAACTTGAGATCTTAACAAATGATTATTCACAATTTTTTTCTTCCTCCAAAGAATATCTATCTTTGTCTCTAATAATAATTTAACTTTACAATATAAAACATAAAAATGAATTACCACGTAGGATATAGATTGTATATAGTTATAAAAGTATGTACATTGTGAAATTTACAAATTTAATTGCTGAGCTAGATAATTCCTTTAAAATAGGTACAGTATACATTAGCAGGGTAAATTATCAAGGTGTGAAATGACAAAAGAGTACGTAGTGCAGATGCAACTGTATACCAAAAATGAGATGAGGTGGGAATGTGGTGTAAATTTTGAAACTGACCTCAATTTGGTTATGAAACTGAAGTACCATTTGTGAACAAGACTCGGAGATTTTACAAATCCGATCCGGCAACTTTTCCGCATGACTGCTGTTACGCTCACCATTCAACCTCGGAAACCTCCAGAATCTCCTACCTTGTAACACACATTAAGCCAACGCTCCATAACCTTGAAAAAACTAGAAGTGAAAAATTATGCAAAAGAACAGAATTACCTGATTTCTCGGCTGGAAAAACGGCAAGCAAAGTAATACCATCCCCGGTATGAACAACATGAGTGAGAGCCCATGCTAATGCTTTCTTGGAGATAACTTTTTCCGCTCTAACGGCCACCACCACTCTCTCCGTCACCTCAACGGCGGTACGCTGACTCAAGCTGGAGTCTGTTCTTTCAGGAAGCATTAGCGTGTAAAGTTGTGAGGGTGGAAGTGAGAATCTGAAAGAGTTTGCGAGTCGTTGGTGTTTTTCGTGATTGGGTTGGTTATGACGTGCGTGATCATTTCCTTAAGTTAAGCGGGATAAAGTGTAGGCAAAAATTGGAAATGGGAACCATGGTTAATTGACTGTGGTTAACTAATATATTGTTGATAGGGGCATTTGTTTTATTTAGAGGAAATTGTCGTTTAATAATGATCACGGAAACTTTATCAGGTATGCATGTAGAGTTTATCATTAGATGCTTTCAGGTAAACCGCCATGGTTGAGTTTGACCATTAAATACAATATTTTTTGTATTAATAATGTAGCACGAATCATATGAATATGATTAAAAGATGAAGGTTGTGGTAGGTGTGTAAAGGATGTATAATATATTGGTAGCTAAGTCCAAAAAAATGACTTGTATTTGATATACTTTTATCTCATTTCTTTTGTACTCACTTAACGATTCCAATAGACTCTTTAATTGTTAAATTAAGTACATTATTCCATCAATCAAATTTCGTAATGTGCAAATTAATTGGTTGATGGGTATATGTCAATACAGACACAATTTGCAGCGATAAATTCCGCATTCTCGACTTCAAAGTGATGTAACCATCAGGGCCAACCCAAGCATTGAAGTTGAAGGGGACTAGCTTCTAAAACAGTAGATGAATGCCCGCCCAATGATGAGAGTGATTGTTGAATGGATGGCAGAGATCTTGGGATGATGACCAATAATATATGTTTGTTATTAGAGCAAAGAGAAGCTGAAAGTGCGAAACAATTTTGGTCACACAAGCACCATGTGATGACAGTAATGAGCAAGGGATAGTCAATTTTCATGATCTGGGACCACGTTTAGGTTGATGAAAATAATAAGCTGATTATATGGACCGTTTTAGGTTGCGTACTTGATTTCATGTTTCTCCATGACATGACATTGACTTACCTGGTGACTAGAGTTAAAACCAAGTTAGGTAGACATGGATCTAGCCATTGAATCTATCTATATGTGTATCAAGCATAGAGCTAGACAGGGTGAGGCTATGTCAATTATAGGTTCCGCACTTTCAGCATATATCTATGCTGCCGTGATTTATGAATTATATTAAGATGCAGCAAATTAAGGAGTAATAATAGATTTCTAGTCAACGATTTATTGCTTAACCCTGAATTTAATGGATCATGAAACCACTCCATTTCAATTACAGTAGACAGTAGAACAAGATAAAAACATCCCATATTGCATAAAACAGATACCACAAGCATTTATTTTTAATTTATTGATATATGTGAGCAGGAAGTCGTGGAGTGAGAAGGACCTCAAGCGGGGTGGCCTTTAAGTTTGTCAATCCAATTCCCTCAACCATGTCAATTGGTTCATTACCTGGGGTTGCAAATTCAAATCCTTGCAGCAAATGAGCAAGTGTGAGTTGCATAACTTGAAGGGCGAAAGAGATTCCCGGACACACTCTTCTACCACTACCAAATGGCAACAATTCAAAATTTTGGCCCCGGACATCACAATCTTTATGCGTCGTAAGAAATCTTTCGGGTTGAAACTCGCAAGGATTGCACCAAACTTTTGGATCTCGATGAAGCTTTGACAGATTGACGAAAAGGCGCGTTCTGGCTGGCACATGGTACCCACCAATGCTGCAATCTTCTAAGGATTCATGTGGCACAGACAGTGGGGCTGCCGGATACAAACGTAATGTTTCTTTAAGGATAGATTGGAAGTAAACCAAGTTTTTAATATCTGACTCTTGCACTAGCCTTTCTCTACCAACGTGGGTATCTAATTCATTTTGGGCTTTTTCCAAGACATGACGATTGTTGAGTAGTAAAGCCACAACCCATGTGAGTGTAACAGTTGTTGTGTCTGTGCCTCCCAATATCATAGCCTGCAAAGAACCATAGCCCATAAACGTTAGATGCTAGACTTATCATGTCAATTATAGAAAGACCCAAATCTATTTGGGATTTCGTAATTCCCTGAAGAACATGCGTGTGTGGCATGTCATTGAGCACTAATTTATTTGTGGTGGCAAAGGATAAGAGACAAAGATACTCCTAAAATTAATTGGTCCTGTCTCAGTCTCTCAGAATAAACGATAGTGAATTAGTGTTAACTTTAGACTGTTATATTCATCAGTCGCTTCCTACAGAAAAAGGACAAGCCAAAATGTCTCAAGCTTTTCCGGTTGCACTCAATCTTAACCGGTTTTACTCTGTAAAATTCTTTGAATTCATCTATGGATTAATAGAGTCAACATATTTGATGTAATAACACATTTAACAAGGTCAAATAAATGGTATAGATAATATTAAATATATGAGTCGCAATTCACCGTCATTCACGTGCCTAACATTTCTCGTCTTTTATGGAATCATGATAAAGTAATTTGGTAAAGAAATTAAAGGTAGCATACCAGGCAGGTAGCTTTGTTGATGGTATCGGCATCATAACTGGGAAGCTCTTGAGCTTCATCAAGAAGGGACAGCATCATGTACATGAAATCATTCTCACCCTTCACCTCACTTATGCTTCTCTTCTGCTTATGTTCCTTTAACCACCCTTCAACAACTTCATCAAGTTCTTTTGCTGTCTTCTTCATGGCCTTCTCATGTCCTCCTAAATCCGCCCACCTCATAAACGGTAGTGCATCTGCAAGTGGAAATGCCCCCGTTAATTCGAAAAATTCCCTTAGCGCTTCTCTGCTGTGTTCATTCTCTTCACTCTCTTCCTTTGTTGTACCCTCAACGAAACTTTTACCCACAACCATCCTTAAAACAACGTTTAATGTTACTTTGCCAAACCATCTCTTCATCTCCACCAATACCTTATTCTTTTTGTTCTTCATCCATAGATCATATATTTCTTTTACAGACGCCTTCACTTCAGATTCTCGGATATGTTTGAGCATTTCGAGGCGGTGGTTTGAGAGAATTTCCAGCGTGGCTATCTTGCGGATTTGGCGCCAGTAAGGACCATAAGGACTCAAGCCGATCATAGCGTAGTTGTAGCCTAAGATCTCTGAGGCTAGAGATTTTGGGCGATTGCAAAAGACTTTATCTTTGGTAGTAAAACACTCTTTGGCAATCTCCCAATTACTTACAATCAAAGCCCGATGGATACCCATCTTGATCATGAAGATTGGACCGTACTTGTCAGCCATGTTTCCCAATGTGATATGTGCAGGTTTTGGGCCTCCTAAGAGGTGGAGGTGGCCAATCAAAGGCCTTGCACCACCAGGTTCTGGTACTGCAACATTATTGCTTGAATTTTTTTGAACACGCCTAAATATCCATAACAAAGAATATAGAAACAATAGAAATGCAAAGAAACCAGTAACTGCAGTTGGGAAGAGAAGAAGAATGTCCATGGCTAGCTATTAGTCTTCTGATTAATTAACTAGAGGCGATGGGTTGCTTTATAATTGAGTTGAGGAGGCTAAAAATTGTGTTGGTTGTGACATAACAAATTTGGCAGCATTTGTCACTTTCCACCATTTAATTATAAGACGTATTTGGTAATTGTGAATAAAATCAACTATTGCTAGTAAACTTTTTTTTTTTTTTTTTTAATCGAGATATTCAGGTTAGTTTATACATACTTTTATTAGAGATTATAGAGACTTAAACTTCGAAAACCATATTAGATATTCCTCTTACTCTTTTGCCATTAAAGAGACTCGAATTTAGGAGACCATGTTAGATCTTCTTCTTGAGAGACTATGTTAAATCTCTCTCTTACTCTTTTATCATTAAGAGAATTCATAACTTAAAACATCATGTTAGATACTCTTTTATTCTTTTACCATCATACCCTCGATGGTGGTTGGTTAGTCTATTTTTACTCTTGTGGGTGTTTTACTTGCTTGTATAAGTTAAAAAGCTAATTGCACACTATATGTGTTCCACCAGAAGAAAAACCCCACTGATGAAATGTATTTTTTTCTTATTTTAAATAGGAAAGCCGCCACTAATCTAATGTAACGAAGATTTACAAATCTAACAAGTTGTCTCCTTACTCCAAAAATTGATTTAATAATCCATGACGTCAAAGAAACGCTTGAAAACAAATATAAATAATGAGAAGAGAAAAGGGTGAAGAAATTAGATTGACAAGTGCACCATCTTTGAAGAGACGGTCTTAATGCGGAACCGAAATTTTAAACTCTCCAAAAGGAGGAGGTTTTACATAGCCAGATTCAGAACAGTATATGCACTATTACAGTGATGGAGTCAATATTTAATCTCATCATATTGGAAATTTTGGCTATTGATCTAGTTTTGATCCTCATTGATCAATGATCATGATCTCATCATGGAACAACACAGGAAGTAGTCAAAATGTGTATCCACCAAATCCACAGCGTTTCTTTTACGATTGGCTTTCTCTACCAACGTGGGTATCTCATTTGTATTGGACTTTCTCCACCGCACGATGGTTGTTTGGTAATAAGAGAGAGCCTATAGTCATTCATAATAGTTGCCGTGTGCACAGCCTCAAAGGAAACACATCCCATTCATATAAATAACTGCTAGATTGCTGGACTTGGGTTATTGGGAAAGAAGACACTACTGTTTCCCAAATTGAATGTTGGCAATTGGGATATTGTAAATCAAATACTTCTTTGTAGTTAGAAATTGTGTAGTATTTGTGTAGGCACAACATAATGTCCCATCCAATCTCGATTTCGCTTTTAAGAAGCCCAAGAACTTGAATACCATAGTAAATAAGCCCTTCGGCTATCACCTAAGCTGAATACTAAAGAAACTAATTATAAATATTTGCACGTTGCTATATTAATTTATTCAATGAATCTGTATATATAATTTTACTTGTTATAAATTCAACAAAATTTTCTTGGTATTGATTTTCATTAGCAAAAATCATTAAATCAAACTTAATTTGGTATGAAGATACATTTTCGTCCATTGCAAAATAATTTTGTAGTATAATTAAATCTTGACTAAATAATATTTTTGACTAGCCCCGACTTGGGACTAATGTGATAAATCAATAATTCACTAAATTTATGAGATAGTATATTTAAAAAAAAAAAAAAAAAAAAGCGCATTTCATATTGCAAAAGAAAATTATGCAATGCAATTATTGCTTTGAGTGCATTTTTTGCGTGAGACATGCTCCACTACCAACAATTGTTTTCAACTTCATATTCTTTGTCATTTCCATGATATTCTCAATAATTTTTTATTCACTCAACAACTCAATTACCTCGTTTTCTCCTCGATAAATTATTAATTTATTAATTTACATGATTAAATAATATATCGATTAATTAATAAATTTTCACGATCCCAAAGATATTAATTTATGGAGGTTTAACTGTATTTAGAATAGAGTGAGATATTAGTATATTAGAGCATCTCCAATAGTGCTCTTTATTTTGAAGAGCGTCTTTCATATAAATAAAGAGCATCTTCATTAATTTTAAAATATAAAGGATACAATTTTTATTTAAATTCAATAGACTCTTTAAATTTAATGAAGATACTCTTTATTTTTAAGAAAGAGACTTAATGGGAGAGAGAATTAATAAATAAAATGCATAGGAACTTATAGTTTATTAATTAAATTAGGATAGAGAGTGAAATTTGACTCTCTAAATGTGGAGAGTCAAATTCACGTTCTAATTTATATTTTAAAGATAAAGAGTTTATTGGATTCTTATTTTTATAAATAAACTCTTTATAATAAAGAGTTTAGGTAATATAAAGAGTCACTTGGAGATGCTCTTAGAATCTAATATTATTACTAAAATAATAATAATAATAATTTTATCTCTTTTAAGTGAAAGATTAAAAAAGAGAATATTGATAACATTTTTTAGATAATAATTATAAGGAGTAACAATGTACTTTCGTTTATCCTAGGTTCTGCTTCCTTGCTAAGATGAAAATGCCAAAACAGAACATTTGTTCTGTTACATGATGAAAACTATCAATGTAATTCATCAAATTACAATAGTAGAAGATGCAGCAAATTAAGGAGTAATAATAGATTTATAGTCAACGAATTTAATGGATCATGAAACCACTCCATTTCAATTACAGTAGACAGTAGAACAAGATAAAAACATCCCATATTGCATAAAACAGATACCACAAGCATGATGAAGAGACACATGAAACCACACACATATTTTTAATTTAAATACCAATAGCCAATTTGTTCATATATGTGAGCAGCAAGAGTAAGAAGGACCTCAAGCGGGGTGGCCTTTAGGTTTGTCATTCCAATTCCCTCAACCATGTCAATTGGTTCACTACCTGTGGTTGCAAATTCAAATCCTTGCAGCCAATAAGCAAGTGTGAGTTGCATAACTTGAAGGGCAAAAGAGATTCCCGTACACACTCTTACATCACAATCTCTATGGGTCGTAGGAAATCTTTCGGGTTGAAACTCGCAAGGATTGCACCAAACTTTTGGATCTCGATGGAGCTTTGACAGATTGACCAAAAGGCGCTTTCTGGCTGGCACATGGTACCCACCAATGCTGCAATCTTCTAAGGATTCATGTGGCACAGACAGAGACAGTGGGGCTGCCGGATACAGACGTAATGTTTCTAGATGCTAATAGCAATCTCTAATTTTGATCTTTATTTTAAAGTGTTTATTTTATATACATAAAAAGTATTTTTATTAATTTTTAAATATAAAAAATAATATTTTTATTTAAATTTAATAAATTTTTTAAATTTTAGGAAAGAAACTTAATAGGAGAGATAAATCATAAATAAAATACATAAAATTTATAATTTATTATTTAAAATTAAGATAGAGAGTGAAATTTGACTCTCTAAACATGGAAAGTCAAACTCACTCTTTAATTTATATTCAAAGAATAAAAAGTCTATTAAACTCTTATTTCTATAAATAAATTTTTTATAATAAAGAGTTTAGGTTATATAAATGATCATTTAGGGATGCTTGTAAACCAAGTTTTTAATATTTGATTCTTGCACTAGCCTTCCTCTACCAACGTCGTATCTAATTCATTTTGGGCTTTATCCAAGACATGACGGTTGTAGAGTAATAAAGCCACAGCCCATGTGAGTGTAATAGTTGTTGATTCTGTGCCTCCCAATATCATAGCCTGCAATGAACCATACCCCGTAAACGTTAGATGTTAGGCTTATCAATGTCAATTACAGAAAGGCCCAAATCTATTTGGGTTAATTGAGAATGAAGACATTCTATTTGGATTTCGTACATGTGTGAACCATCACCTATGATAAAAGAGCAAAGAGGTCCAACATGAGTTTTTTAGTTGAGTCCTCCCAAGTACTAATAAGGATAATCACTAAAAAAATTTATTCGATCGTTCACTTTAGGGTCTTGGAGATTAATTGAGGTACGTACAAACTGTTTAAACATTCTCAATTACCACAAAAAAATAGTAAAATAGAACAAATAAAAAACATGCATGTGTAGCATGTTAATTAGCACTAATTTATTTATCAGTGGCGATCAAGGATAAAAGACAAATATACTCCTATAATTAATTAGTCCTTTCTCATAATATACAATAATGGATTAATAATCTTTAATATAGTCAACATAGTTGATGTAATAACACATAAAACAAGGTCAAATATATGATATAGATAATATTAAATATATTAGTGGTAATTCACCGTTATTCATATGCCTATCATTTTTTTTTTTTTTTTTTTTTGGTGACCGGAGGTGTTTGGGTCAGTTTGTGCATACCTCAATTAATCCACCAAAGCTCTAAAGCTGATGTCTAGGTAAGCCCTTTAGTGGCCACCCAAATTAGGACATGTAGAGAGTGGAAACTCGAATTTAGAAGCTCATAGAATCTCCTTTTGTTCTTTACTATCAGGCCACTCAGTGGTGGTTCATATCCCTAACATTTCTCTTCTCTTTTTATGAAATTATGATAAAGTAATTTGGTAAAGAAATTAAAGGTAACATACCAGGCACGTAGCTTTGTTGATGGTATCGGCATCATAATTAGGAAGCTTTTGAGCTTCATTAAGAAGGGAAAGCATCATGTACATGAAATCAGTCTCACACTTCACCTCACTTATGCTTCTCTTCTGCTCATGTTCCTTTAACCACCCTTCAACAACTTCATCAAGTTCTTTTGTTGTCTTCTTCATGGCCTTCTCATGTCCTCCTAAATCCACCCCCCTCATAAACGGTAGTGCATCTGCAAGTGGAAACGCCCTAGTTAATTCGAAAAAATTCCTTAGCGCTTCTCTGCTGCGTTCATTCTTTTTACTCTCTTCCTTTGTTGTACCCCCAACGAAACTTTTACCCACAACCATCCTTAGAACAATGTTTAATGTTACTTTGCCAAACCATGTATCTCTTCATCTCCACCAATACCTTATTCTTTTTGCTCTTCATCCATAGATCATATATTTCTTTTACAGACGCCTTTATTTCAGATTCTCAGATATGTTTGAGCATTTGGAGGCGATGGTTTGAGAGAATTTCCAGCGTGGCTATCTTGCGGATTTGGCGCCAGTAAGGACCACAAGGACTCAAGCCTATCATAGCGTAGTTGTAGCCTAAGATCTTTGAGGCTATTGACTTTGGGTGATTGCAAAAGACTTTATCTTTGGTAGTAAAACACTCTTTAGCGATCTCCCATTTATAGTACTTACAATCAAAGCACGATGCATACCCATCTTGATCATGAAGATTGGACCGTACTTGTTAGCCATGTTTCCCAATGTGGTATGTATAGGTTTTGGGCCTCCTAAGAGGTGGAGGTGGCTAATCAAAGGCCTTGCACCGCAAGGTTTTGGTACTGCAACATTGTTGCTTGAATTTTTTTGAACACGCCTATATATCCATAATTAAGAATATAGAAACAATAGAAATGCAAAGAAACCAATAACTGCAGTACCAATAACTGCAGTTAGGAAGGGAAGAAGAATGTCCATGGCTAGCTATTAGTCTTCTGATTAATTAATTAGAGGCAATGGGTTGTTTTATGTTGATGCTTGATTTTGACACCAATGACTCGCACGTGCAAAGTGCTAAGAGTCTTAGAAATTACACGTGATCGATCCATGAGATTTAAATATGGTACTGAGATTATATATGTTGCAGAAACATAAATAATAGACTGACAAGAGAGGTTTTTATAGTGGTTCGGATGCTTAAAACAAATCCTACATCCACTGTTATTTTATTATTCTCTGATTATTTTTATGATATTGCCTGTAAGGCATACGAAGATGAAGAAATACTTTGCTTTACAGAGAGAAATAATGAAACTCAAATCTATGCCTAGCTCTCATATGTCCAACCTCCTCTTTTCGTGAAGAGAGGTGCTCATTTATATACCTTTTAGGTCAATGTAATGAGTGCTTTTGCAAGTTGTCATGACACGTGGGGACCACTCCTTAATCCTTATCTTTTTATTTTGATAAAGTTGGGACAAGTGTGCGATCTTCATCCACTGATAGACAAAACTTGAATTTGTTGGGTTGGTGACAGCCGTATCCCTTCTGTCTTGGGGCGATGTTGCAGCTCCTGGACGGCACAAAGCCTTCCTGAACTCTGATTGGTTGGTTCTGACATTAGTGCAATTTTTTAGGCACAACAGAACCCCCCCCCCAGTTTTTGGAGAGCACAATTGCACTTCAAAAACTCATGTCTTAGATCTGAATGGCTGTCACACTATAGGTTGTAATCCCAAACTAAAGAGCTTGAACTATGCTTGGCGCGATCGAGTGCTGAGAGCTAGGACTGTAATTAAAGAGCTTGGAGCGATTCGAAGCTGAACGCGATCTAATAACTGACATGAAATGTCCAGTAGATGAATTCTTGGAAGGAGCTAACGTCATAAACCCAAATGCACGGTTAAGAGGCCTTAAACGAATAAGCCAACTTAAAACAGCCATAACTTTTGATACAGGAGGAGTTTTGAAGCCTGTAAGATATCCACGGAAAGGTTGTTCCAAGCTTTACGTTGTGGAAACTAGGGAGCCTAGTTGGGGCCATTTTCGGGGCCAAAATCCACCATTTCTACATGTTTTGGGGCTGTTTTGAATTTTCTATGCGTTTTTTCTAACGCTGGTAACTAGTCGCGATCTAAGAATTAAGAACTGATCGCGATTTGAGAGTTGAGAACACGACCTGAGGCTGTTTGCAACATCAGAGCTAAGAGCTGATTGTGATTTGAGAGCTGGGAGCTGATCGCAATCTGATAGGAGCTCGATCTGAGAGTCTGAGGCATGCGATCTAAACGATCTGATGCACACGATCTCAAGTAAATGAGCGAGCTTATGAGCTCAATCTGAGAGCATAAGGAGCTCAATCAGAGAGCATAAAGAGCTCGATCAAAAAACGCAGAAAGAGTTTGATCAGAAAGCGCGAAGCTTGATCCAAGAGCATAAGGAGTTTGATCAGAAAGAGCGAAGCTTGATCTGAGAACACAAGGAGTTCGATCAGAAAGCGCGAAGCTTGATCTGAGAACTCAAGATCAACGATTTGAGCGTGAGATCAACGATCTGGTCATGCGATCTGAAGCTAAAGATCAGCCATCTAAAGCTGAAGATCAAGACGATCTGAGTGTGCGATCAACGATTTAACCAAGCAATCAGAGAGCAAAAGATCAGCGATTTGAAGCTGAAGATCAGCGATCTAAACACTCGATTTGAAGCTAAAAATCAGTGATCTAAAGTTGATGATCAAGACGATCTGAGCGTGCGATCAACGATTTGACCATGTAATCAGAGAGCAAAAGATCAGCGATTTGAAGCTGAAGATCAGCGATCTAAACACACGATTTGAAGCTAAAAATCAGTGATCTAAAGTTGATGATCAAGACGATCTGAGTGTGCGATCAGATCTGGCCACGCGATCTGAAGCTGAAGATCAAGACGATCTGAGCGTGCGATCAGCGATCTAGCCATGCGTCGGAGAACTCTGACGCATGCGATCTGGCCACACGATCGGAGAACTCTGACACGTGAGATTTTGCCACGCCATCGGGGAGCTTAGACACAGGCTTGAGACTTGCATGGGCCACCAAACTATTGATGCTTGATTTTGACATCAACGACTCGCACATGCAAAGTGCTAAGAGAGTCTAAGAAATTACACGTGATTGATCGATGACATTTGAATATGGTACTGAGATTATATATGTTGTAGAAACATAAATAATAGACTGATAAGAAGTTTTTATAGTGGTTCGAATGCTTAAAGCAAACCCTACATCCACTGTTATTTTATTATTCTCTGACTATTTTTATGATATTGCCTATAAGGCATACAAAGATGAAGAAATACTTTGCTTTACAAAGAAAAATATTGAACCTCAAATCTATGTCTAGCTGTCATATGCCCAACCTCCTCTTTTCGTGAAGAGATGTGCTCATTTATACACCTTTTAGGTCAATGTAATGAGTGCTTCTACAAGTTGTCATAACACGTGGAGACCACTCCGTAATCATTATCTTTTTATTTTGATAAAGTTTGGACAAGTGTGTGGTCCTTATCCACTCATAGACAAAACTTGAATCTGCAGGGTTGGTGACATAAAAAATTTGTCACCATTTGTTACTTTCCACCATTTAATTATATGACGTATTTGGTAATTGTGAAATCAACTATTGCTAGTAAACTTTTTTTTTTTTTTTTTTTTTTTTTCTAATTGGGGTGTTCGGGTCCACCTCTGTTAGAGGTCATGGAGACTCAAACTCCGAAGACCATGTTAGATCTTCCTCTTACTTTTTTATCATCAAAGAGTTTCGAATTTTGAAAAACCATGTTAGATCCTCTTCTTAGGAGACCATACTAGATCTCTCTCTTACTTCTTTACCATTAAGGAAATTCATAACTTGGGAGATCATGTTAGATACTTTTTGTTCTTTTACCATTGTACCCTCAGTGGTGGTTTGTCAGTATAATTTTACTCCTGTCGGTATTTTACTTTCTTCTGTATAAGTTAAAAAGCCAATTGCATACGATATGATGTTCCACCATAAGAAAAACCCACTACATGAAATCACCCCACTTTTATTTTTTTCTTATTTAAACAGAACAGCCACCACTAATCCGATTGTAATGAAGATTTGCAAATCTAAAAAGTTATCTCCTTACTCCAAAAATTGATTTAATAATCCATGTCGTCAAAGAAATGCTTGAAAACAAACATAAATAATGAGAGATTAACACGTGCACCATATTTGAAGAGACGGTCCTAATGCAGAACCGAAATTTTAAACTCTCCAGAAAGACGTTTGATATAAGCCAGATTCAGAACAGTATATGCAGTAGTACAGTGATGAGTCAATATATCTCATCTTATTGGAAATTTTGGCTATTGATCTAGTTTTGATCCTCATTGATCAATGATCATGATCTCATCATGGAACAACATAGGAAGTAAGTTAGAATGTGTATCCAGCAGATCCCCTGCGTTTCTTTTACGATTGGCTTTCTCTACCAATGTGGGTATCTCATTTGTATTGGACTTTCTCCACCGCACGGTGGTTGTTGGGTAATAAGAGAGAGCCTATCGTCGTTCGTAATAGTAGCCGTGTGCACAGCCTCAAAGGAAACACATCCCATACATATATATAACATGCTAGATTGAATGTTGGCAGTTGGAATATTCAAAATCAATTGTAGTATTTAGAATGGAGTGAGATATTACAAATTTACAATCTAATGGTATAACTAAAATAATAATAGTTTTATCTCTTTTAAGTGAAAGATTAAAAAAGAGAATATTGATACCATTTTTTAAATAAAAAATTTAAGCAATAATAGTTATAAGGAGTAATAATGTACTTTCGATTTATCCTAGGTTCTGTTTTTGCAAACATGATGAAAACGATCAATGTAATTCATCAAGCGTTACAGGATTCATATTTCGTAAGGCAAATTTCATAATTCAACGTTGACATAGAAAAAGGGAATACGACTGGAGCTAGTCATTCTGCTTGTAAAGATGAAGGGGCAGGCGTGGAGTGAGATGGACTTCGAGTTTGGCGAATCTGAGGTTGGCTGTCCCGAAACTCTCTCCCAAATCAACCACTTCATCTGACGGTGTTGAAATTTCAAATCCATGGAGCAATGTAGCCATCGTTAGTTGCATAATCTGAGATGCAAATAAGAAGCCAGGGCACATTCTTCTACCGCTTCCAAACGGTATATATTCAAAGTTCTGACCTTTGACATCGAAATCCTTGTGGGTTGTAAGAAACCTTTCAGGCTTAAACTGGTAAGGATCTGGCCATATACGTGGATCATGATGAATTTTCCAGAGATTAACAAACATTCGTGTGCCTGCAGGGATATGGTAGCCACCCACTGTGCAATCAGCCAAAGACTCATGTGTAACTGTCATGGCTGCGGCTGGGCTTAAACGTAGCGTTTCCTTGATGATTGCTTGGAGATACACCAAGTTCTTTATGTCTGATTCATTTGGTAACCTTTCTCTACCGATGTGGGTGTCTAATTCTTGTTGGGCTTTCTGTAGGACATCACGGTTGTTGAGTAACAGCGAAAGACCCCATGTCAATGTAACTGTTGTGGTATCCGAAGCCGCCATGATAAGAGCCTACTTATGAAAATGACTATTAGTTAATTAGAAGCCATCAAGTTTTCTTTACTTTAATTTTTTGGGTTTTTGTATAAACGAAGGGTGGATTTTAAAATTCTAATCAATCAAATTGAAATTGACATAGTTTAATTAGTAGGCAAAAATCATACCAGACATGTAGCTTTAATGGTAGTATCAGCATCATGATTGGCGATCTCTTCTGTTGTGTCCTCAAGAATGGATAGCATCACGTCCATGAAGTCTTGGTCACCCTTCACCTTGGTAGAAGCTCTATTCCGCTTGTGCTCTTCTAACCATTGTTGAACATAATAATCTAGTTCTTTTGCTGTTTTCTTCATAGCCCTTTCAATTCCTCCCAAATCCAACCACCTTAGAGACGGAATTGCATCTGATATCACAAATTTCCCCGATAATTCAAACCATTTCCTTATTGAATCTCGCCACGGATCCTTCTCTTCAGCCTCACTTGATGTTGTATTCCCCACATATCTCTTACCTACAATTATCCTGTAAATCACATTTAACGCTATGTCTCCAAACCATTTCTTCATCTCCAGCATCACCTTAGTTTCGTGGGTGCTACTTTTATTCTTATCCCATAGCTCATACATCTCTTCTAGAGCAGCTTTCGTCTCGGATTCTCGTACGTGTTTGAACGTCTTAAGTCGGTGGGTAGAGAGGAGTTCAAGCGTGGCTATCTTGCGAATTTGACGCCAGTAAGGTCCGTACGGGCTGAAGCCAACCATGGCGGAATTGTAGCCCAGGATCTCCGACATTAACATCTTTGGACGGTTGGCGAAGACTTTATCATTGGTAGTTAGACACTCTTTAGCCATTTCCCAACTGCTCACGATCACAGTTCGATGCACACCCATCTTTATGCTGAAGATTGGCCCGTATTTGTCAGCCAGATTGCCCAAGACTACGTGAGGAGGTTTTTTTGGCCCAAATAGAGGAAGGTGGCCAACAAAAGGCCATGCACCGCTAGCTTCCGGTGGTAAACGCTTGTTATACAGTTGATTTCTTCTTGAAATCCATAATAGACAGTAGAGAAATAGTAAGAAAGAAGACAGGGCTGCCAGCGAAGAGTGTAGGAATGCAAAAATGAACTCCATATATGGCTTCCAATTATCAGCCTTAAACGTGTTTTGGTAAAATGAGATAGCCTTGACCTTTATATAAACATCAGTGGAGACATTATTTAATATAATAAGTATTCTTCAAAAATGCGAAACGGCCTGCAATATGCAAATCTGAAGCTGAAGTAGCCAGTATAAAGCCATTTTTTTTTCTTTTTTTTTTTGCCTAGGAACAACTATGTTAGAGCATCAGCATCAGGATCACCGTCTAGTACTACAGACAATTTGGATTTGATTAATTCATTCAGAAACAAGGGTCATTATAGACGAGTCACGCTTTAATTATACGGTATCATATTTTTAATATTAAATGTTTATATATAATAAATTTAAATTAATTACAGAATACATAATGAAATTGTCTCAAATATTTTATATGCTAAAAATGGTTTATAAAAACTTGAAAGCTAACAAAAGAATTAAAATATAAGAAAGCCAAAAAAAAGATGCCACTTCCAGTTACTAACAAATACTTGCATGTTAAAATAAATTTATTTTAAAGCTGGTCTCCCTCGCAACTGAAATGCTCTCCTAAAGCTATTCTTCTTGTCTGATCTGACTAGAAATATATAATAGACTTTTACGATTGAAACATATATATCTGCTTACACCATCACTACGGCCGGAACGAAACATCGAAAATTCACTTGATCTTTGATGCCATCTCCAAAATTCTAATGAAAGATGTTCGGCTCTTCCATCAACAAATTTTTGGATTCTTGCTTTCATTTGTTTCCCGGGTTAGGAATGTTATGCTTTTGATCATCTAGCACCAGAAGAAGTCAGAGTAAGCATATGGATGTACCATAACACTTGGGATGGAACATCAGTCTCATTATTGGAGATCGGGTTGAGATTCCCAAAAAAATACAATCCGGTACCCCATCTGATATATCCTCAAGATTATTTAAGCTTTAGCTATCAATTTACCGTTTCACAATGGCCTCTGAAAACTAAGTCATGTACGCAATAGCCCTGGAAACTTGCGAATAATTAAACCAACTAAATAGAATTAGGCCTGAAACAGTATGCATGAAGGCCACATCATCCATGCATTTTAAAATATTCTGGGTACAGCAATATTTAAGCTTATAAATAAAAATCTCAGAATATAATTTAACCATATAAGGAAGAGGGAGGCGTGGAGTAAGAAGAACTTCAAGTGGAGCTGTTTTCACCATGGTCAATCCAATTCCCTCTCTAATGTCGATAGGTTCATCTGATTGAGTTTCAAAATCAAACCCTTGCAGCAACGCAGCAAGTGTAAGTTGAATAACTTGAAGGGCAAATGACACTCCTCGGCACATCCTTCTGCCACTACTGAACGGTATAAATTCAAAATTCTGGCCCCTTACATCAATATCCTTGTGGGTTGTAAGAAATCTTTCTGGATGAAACCTACTAGGATCCGACCATACACGTGGATCACGATGAATCTTCCAAATATTAACAAGAAGACGTGTGCCCGCTGCTATATGGTACCCATTGATGCTGCAGTCTTCCATAGACTCGTGTGGAACTGAGAGTGGTCCAGCAGGATACAGGCGCATTATTTCCTTGAGGATGGCTTGGAGATAAACCAAATTTTTTATGTCTGATTCCTCTACTTGCCTTCTTATACCAACCTTTGCATGCAGTTCATTTTGTGCCTTCTTCAGGACATGCCGATTGTTGAGAAGTAAAGAAAGAGCCCATGTCAATGTAACTGTTGTAGTGTCCGTGGCCGCTAAGATGAGAGACTGCAAAACCATTGGAGCATATATATACACAAAAATGTTAACAGTGGGGTCTAATATCAAGTAATTAGATTCTCTGGAGATCGGATCCTAAAGGCTTGTTTTACTTAGCCTTATAAATTTACCATCCTTATTTTTTCGTCTTCAACATAAAAATCGACATTAGAAGGAAAGGAATTGACCTTCGTGATTATTATATCTCGCCAATGCATCACACATTCTTGGAATTTTAAAAAGAATGGAAACAAACTCATTATAATCAAAGATCAACGACATTTTTCTTGATTTTTATTTCTTTATGAAATAAAATGACAAAACTTCAAACCAGGAATGTAGCTTAATATCCCTTCCGTCTGCTATCAAAGCAATTATATATATTTTTTTTTCGTGTAAGTTATTGTGGCCCTTCACTAAATAGGTAACTCCCAATAGCAGTTGATTTTCCAACTGTTAGTGGTAACCGTTTATATAAACTCTTCTTCTTTGATGGAAAAAAGAAGTGACAGAGAACATAAAAACATTGAGTAGAACTAAAAACAAGTTCACTAGTCTATAAGAAAGTCTACGATTCTCCATCTATACATAGAATAAGGTCTTGAATAGAGTAGAACTGATCCTAATTTACCAGCGTCTTTCACAGTACTTGGAATTTGATTACTATGGCTAGAGGTATGTTCTTGGGCTTCCGCTTATGGTTTATTAGTATTGGTATATGTTGCTTACATGATGAAGAAGTGGAATGAAAAGATAAAAACTGGATTTGAAATGCATATATAATTGACAACAAATGTAGCCCTTTCGTTTATAGATCGACCAGTAACAACATGAACTAAGCTATTGTTTTTAATTTTCTGTTGAGCTATTGATATAAGCTCTTTTAACATGAAACAAAAATTACAGAGGATTATATAGAGAGCGTAAATTAAATTTTCAACGACAAAAAATTTTATTGGGGAAAAGATAAGGCATACCAGGAATGTAGCTTTGTTGATGGTATCAGCATCACGACCGGGAAACTCATCATCTGCATTGTCCAAAATGGACAGCATCACGTCCATGAAATCTTCCTCTTCCTTCTTCTCGTTGGAAAGTCTCTTCCTCTTGTGCTCTATTAGGGTGTGTAAATATTGTAAATACTGATTAGTTAATCTTCAGATTAGTTACAGATTAGTTAGTTAGTTAGCTTCACTAATTACATTTTGTGTTATAACTAATCCATTGTAATAGTGACTATATATAGTCTGCTTGTCTGCTTCTATTTTGGTCGACTAATAATAAAGAAAGCAGTTTATTCTTCATTCTCTCTCTTCTTCTCAGCTCATCTTCTTCTTCTTCACGAAGCTTAATATGGTATCAGAGCATATTTGATCCGCTGCAAATCTGCTCGTTTTTCTTCCTTTCTACGCTGATTGTTCTTGCCTTCGTCAATATGGCCACTCTGTCCTCGAATGCTGATGATTCCAATTCTGAAGAGCGTACAAATTCGAATCATTCTGCCATTGATGAACCTTCCAATCCTTACTATCTTCATCATTCTGACAGCCCTGGGCAAGTGCTTGTCTCGCAACAGCTCACTGATGAGAATTACACCAGTTGGAGTCGTGCGATGTTGATTGCCCTATCCGTGAAGAACAAAGTGGGATTTGTTGATGGCTCTATTTCTGAACCTAAAGGTACTGACAATAATCTACTTAATTCCTGGACTCGCAATAACAATATTGTTATATCTTGGATCTTAAATTCGGTTTCAAAGGAAATTTCTGCCAGTATTATTTTTGCTTCTTCTGCCCGAGAGATGGCTCGCTCTTAAGGATCGTTTTCAGAGAGGAATGGACCTAGAATTTTTTAGCTTAAACGTGAATTGATGAATCTGCGTCAAGAACAGAGTTCTGTTACATTTACTTCACAAAGCTGAAAACTATATGGGAAGAACTGAGTAATTACCGGCCTATTGTTCTTGTGGAAAGTGCACTTGTGACGGAGTTAAAAATCTTAACAATCATCATCAAAAGGAGTACATAATGTCTTTCTTAATGGGACTTGATGATTCTTTCTCAAGTTCGTGGTCAGTTGCTTTCTCATGGATCCGATGCCTCCTATTAATCGTGTTTTCTCTTATGTTCAAGAGGAACAGCAAGGAGAACCAATCCTTCCCCTGATCGAGCAATTCTACTGGCACAATGGCATTTGCTGTTAAAACAGATGTAGCAAGTCTGGTGGTCCTAGTTCTCAAAATTCTTATTTCACTGCTCCTAAGAATCAGAAAAGAGATATGCCTTATTGCACACATGCAAGATTTTGGACATACTGTGGATCGTTGCTACAAGATACATGGATATTTCTTGGCTATAAATTCAGATCTAACAACAATTATAATGCAGCTCTATCAAGTCTCTACTACTGATAATAAATCAGATCACTCTAATTCTTTTGGAGGTTTTGTACAGAATCTGAACTCCGATCAATATCAGCAGTAATGTCCATGCTTTCTACACATTTGAGTAGCTCAGCAAAGTTCACCAATGCTCCTGATCCTGCTCAAACAACTATCTAGCAGGTATTTGCTTCTCTGTTCTTCTGAGTCCTTTATTTTCCTCCAATCAATTCTGGATTGTAGACCAGGAGCTACTCGACATATTTGTTCAAGCTGGTCGTTTTGTTTCTCTGAATTGTTCATCACACGACAGTACTTTGCCAAATAATTCTCAGATTTGGTTCTTTTGGTGGTGATGTTAAATTGCATTTTGATCTTGTGCTTAAGGATGTACTGTTTGTTCCTCAATTCAAATCAACTTGATCTCAGTCAATGCTTTAGTAACTAGATCTGCCCTAAGTGAGTTTTCTCACTGACTGTTTTGTTATCTAGGATCTTCCACCAGAGGGATTGGCAGGGGTGACAAAGTTCAAGATCTCTATTTCTTAATGTTCGTTGTTTGAATTCTAATTCCAATGCTTTTGTCAATAATGTTTTTGCTCACATTTGGCATATAGATTAGGACATATTTTTTAAGAGACTTGATTCTTTGAAAGATCAGTTGAAATGTGATGTAACTAGATTACATAAGGTGGATCCTTGTTATATTTGCCCCTCTGCTAAGCAAAGAGGCTACCTTTTGAATCAAATAATCATTTGTCCAAATTTCCTTTGATCTTGTGCACTGTGATATTGGGGGCCATATCCAACTGTTTCTTATACTGGTCATCGATTTTTTTGACTCTTGTGATGATTGCACTCGGTTCACTGGGGGTATTTGTTGAAGAATAAGTCTGATGCTGTCTCTGTGATACCAAGTTTTTCAACATGGTTTCAACTCAGTTTAATGCCAAAATCAAGGTGTTTCGATCTGATAATGCACCTGAGTTATCTTTTGCTGAGTTTCTTCAAGATCAGGGTGTTTTGCATCAGTTTTCATGCGTTGAAAGGCCTCAACAAAACTCAGTTGTAAAGCGCAAACATCAGCACTTATTGAATGTGCTCGGTCATTGTTTTTTCAATCCAGGATTCCAGTTTCTTTTTGGACAGATTGTGTTCTTACGGCAGCTTCTGATTAACAGAACTCTCCCCACTATTGAGACACAGCACACATTTCAGTTGCTATACAAAACAGCTCCTGATTACACTGTTTTTCGAGTCTTTGGTGTTTAGCATTGTTTCCACCTTAGCTGCTCATCGAACCAAGTTCCAACTCGTGCCGAGTTTGTGCTTTCTTGGATATCCGCCTGGTGTGAAAGGTTATAAGTTCTATGATGTAGAAACCAACAAGTGTTCTTTCCCGCGATGATGTGTTTATGAGGAAGTGTTCCTTCTCATGTTGTTACTAGTTCGATCAGGTTCCTAGTCTGTTTCCAGATTTAGTTCTGCCCCATTCTTCATTACAAGCTCCTTTTATTCAGATCTTGATTCCTCACTGTTCATGATCCACTTGTCTCTAGTGATACTTTACTTCAGCAGCCAATATTCCAGTAAATGATACTCCAGCACTGCTTCTTCATCTGCTGGTGTTGTTTTTCGCAAATCTACCAGGATGATTCATCAACCTCCTTACTTGAAGGATTACCACTGCAATTTGCTTGTCTGGTTCTTCTACTCCTCTCCACTTCTGCATATTATCCAATCTCTAAATATATATTATCATGGCCTTTCGGATTTCCACAGGCAGTTTGTGCTCAGTGATCTTCTCAGGTTGACCTCAATACTATCACCAAGCCGTGAAGTTCCTGAATGGAGATTGGCTATGCATGAAGAGTTAAAAGCTATGGAGGAAAATAACACTTGGACTGTCACTTCTCTCCTCATGACAAACATACCATTGGCTGAAATGGATTTATAAGATCAACTAAATCGATGGATCTATTGAGCGACATAAGGCTTGTTTGGTAGCTAAAGGCTATACAACACAGAAGGTTTGGACTTTATTGACACTTTTTCTCCAGTAGCAAAATTAGTGACTGTAAAGGTTCTTCTTGCCCTTGCTGCCTCCATAATTGGCACTAGCCTAACTCGATGTCAATAATGCTTTTTTAAATGGCGATCTTTTTGAGGAAGTCTATATGGATCTCCCTCTAGGCTATCCTAGACAGGGGGAGTCTTCTCCATCTCAAGGCAAACTCGTAGTAAGCTTCACAAGTCAATTTATGGTCTCAAGCAAGCCTCGAGACAATGGTATTCAAAATTTTCTCAAGCCTTGATCAAGTTTGGCTTTCTTCACTCCAAGTCCGATTATTCTTTACAAAGAGTCATGGGTCCTCGTTTATTGCTCTTCTCGTTTATGTGGATGATATCATCCTAATAGCCCTTCACCTCAAGCTATTGATGAGCTCAAACAGTTTCTGCTAACTCAATTTAAGCTAAAAGATCTTGGTGGTCTCAAATACTTCCTTGGTCTTGAGATTGCTCAATCCAAACAGGGTATGCACTTTCTCAACGTCATTAACCTTACAATTGCTTGAGGACTCTGGTTACTTGGCTTGTAAGCCCATTGTTGTTCCCATGGATCAAAACTCAGTTGACTGCTACTGAAGGTGAATTGCTTTATGATGATTACACACTATGACGGCTTGTTGGGAAACTCTTTACCTCACTTTGTCTCGCCCAGTATCACTTTTGCAGTTCACAAGCTCACTCAATCTTGGCCCAACTTGCCTTCCTATCTCAAGGCGGTGCATCATCTACTTCGTTATCTCAAGAACAGTCCTGGCCAAGGGTTGCTGTTTTCATCTCATTCTTCCTTACCTTAAAGCATTCTCTGATGCTGATTGGGGATCATGTCTTGATTCTCGTGCTCCGTACAGGTTTTTGCATCTTTATTGGAGATCTTTTAGTCTATTGGAAGGCCAAAGCAGACCACCATCTCTCGATCATTAGCTAAAGCTGGTATTGAGTCTTTCCTCTACTGCCAGTTAGCTCTCATGGTTGTAGCAACTTCTTCAAGATTTTCAAGTCACAGTTGCTTCTCCTGCTTGCTATATTGTGACAATCAAGCTGCGATACATATTGCCTTAATCCAACCTTTCATGAATGCACTAAGCATATCGAAATAGATTGCCATTTTGTTCGTGAAAGAGTTGCTTTGGGAGTTCCAAATGTGTGCCCATTGTTCTCAATACCAATTGGCTGACCTGTTACTAAACCTCTTCCCTCTACTCAGTTTTTTTCTGTTGTCCAAGATGGCTGTAAAAGACATTTACCAGCCACCTTGAGGGGGAGTATTAAGGTGTGTAAATATTGTAAATACTGATTAGTTGTTAATCTTCAGATTAGTTACAGATTAGTTAGTAGTTAGCTTCACTAATTACATTTTATGTTATAACTAATCATTGTAATAATGACTATATAGTCTGCTTGTCTGCTTCTATTTGGTCGACTAATAATAAAGAAGCAGTTTTATTATTTCTCTCTTCTTCTCAGCTCATCTTCTTCTTTTTCACGAAGCTTAATATGCTCTTCTAACCATTTTTGAGCAACAATCTCTATTTCTTTGGAGTCTTCTTCATCGACCTCTTCGCCCCCTTATCCACCACCTAGAAATGGTAGCGCATCTGACACCACGAACTTACCAATAAATGCAAAAAAATTCGTTAGTTCCTCTTTCCATGCATTACTCACTTCACCCTCTTGTGAAGTGCAGCGCTTTCCTACAACTATCTTTAAAATAATATTAAGTGTTATGTCCCCAAGCCATCTTTTCATCGCCGCCAACACCTTGTTTGAATCACTGCTTTTGTTCTGCATCCATAGCTCACATAACTCTTTCAAAGAAGTCTTCACCTCGGATGCCCGTACATGCTTTAACTTCTCAAGCCGATGGTTTGAGAGAACCTCAAGTGTTAATATCTTGCGTACTTGACGCCAGTAGGGGCCATATGGGCTGAAGCTAATCATAGCAAACTTGTAGCCTAAAAGCTCCATGGCCATTGCTTTTGGACGATTGGCAAGATTTGGTCATGGGTAGTGAGGCACTCTTTAGCAATCTCCCAATTACTCACCACTAAAGCTTGGTGCACGCCCATCTTGACTGTGAAGATCGGTCCATACTTATCAGCCATGTTGCTCAACACTCTATGAGGCGGTTTTGGGCCGCGTAAAAGGTGTAGATGACCAATCAAAGGCCATGCCCCACCCGCTTCTGGTGCTGCATTCTTCTTGCTTCTATTTCTCAGCAAATTTCTTATTATCGCCAATAACAGAGAGTAGAGAAAGACGGCCAAAATTGCAGCAATAGCTGTTTTATGTGATGAAAGAAAATAGTCCATTGCTATTAAGTAGAGACTCGCACCTACGTTTAAATAAGGAGTCAGGACGAAAAATCTAATTTAGAAACTATAATGAAGGGACCTCTTCATCAAAATCTAATTTAGAAACTATAATGAAGGGACCTCTTCATCTCCATTTATAGAGTATTCACGTATTAATTAAACAATAGAAAATACAACTGTGCAGAAATGTGTGTCGCTCGACCATCTTTTTTATGATTAAGTATGTCGGTTGCCATTTCTAGAAAAATGAAGAAGAAGATCCAGTCCCTTTCTAAATTAAGCGGCATGGGCATGGCATCCTTATCTTGGTTGGATTCTTATCTGCTAGTTCGTGTGCCTCAAGTGAACCCTTGATATACTCAATGTAGTAATTATTTTGTCTCTTAAGGGGCAAGGCTTAACAATATTTGTCAATATATAAAACTGAGTTAACCACTTTTTCCTATCCAAATAATGGTTTAATGACACTTTTCTAACCACAAACTTTTAAAATACCATTTTATTACTCAAATTTATATTCTGATGACGAACAGAGAGCAAACTCCATTCAAACTATTGAGGCTTTTGAAGAGGAGAGACCAATAAGTCTTTTGGTGGTAGAAGGTAAATTTTGGTAGTTAGGATTGATCGAAATTTAACTTTGGAGGGACGACTACGTAAAACCCTAATCGTTCGATTGTCGACGATTGGTGGGGTTGGTGGGAATAGGGTTTGAGTGGTTTTTGTGAGTGATAATCGAAAAAGAGAATTATGATGATGTAGGGTCGCAACTATGCTAGAATCGAAAACATAATATAAATTTAGGTAATAAAATGATATTTTAAAAGTATGTGGGTGGGAAAAAGTATTTTACCCATAAAACTATTGAGAAAAATTCTGAAACGATATCGGCTTCGTTTGGTTCAAGATTAGGAATACTACTCTTAGTATTCCCAAAAAAGTTAAACAGTAAAATACCCAAAAACTTTCGGCTTCGTTTGGTTCAAGATTGGGAATACTACTCTTAGTATTCCCAAAAAAGTTAAACAGTAAAATACCCAAAAACTCTCATTTTTGGGAATACTATTTTCAATATTATTCAATTTTTTTTAAACCCTCTAAATTTGTTAATTCAATTAAATACCCCTAAATATTTTTTTTAAAATTATAAAAACACCCCAACAATCCACATTTACCATATTCCGGCCACCACCGTCGGAAAATGGCCGGAATCTGATAGGATGGCGCACTACCGGCTGAATCTGGCCGGTAGTGCGCCGATCTAGCCTTTTCCGGCCAGATCCACGGTGGATCTGGCCGGAAAAGGCCAGATCTAAGGCCAAAGATCTGGCCGTTGATGGCCAGATCTTTGGCCGTAACAGTCGGTCACGACGGCCAACAAACGGTCGCCGTTGACCATCAACGACAACCGTTTGTTGGCCGTCGTTGAGAGCAAATACGGCTAGATCTACCGTGGATCTGGCCGGAAAAGGCCATATCGGCGCATGACCGGCAAGATCCAGCCGGTCATGCACCGATAAGGAGACTCCGGCCACCTCCGGTGGTGGTGGCCGGCTGGGGGTGTTTGAGGGTGGGTTGGGGGTGTTTTTGTTAACTTTTACTGTTTTATTATATGGGGTATTTTGTAAAAAAACAAACATAAGGGGCATTTTATTAATTTATAAATCCTACATCGTAATACCTGCCCAATTCAACTTTTTTTTAACTTTTTTCAAAAAACTTTTCTCAAAACCCCCAAATTTTGAACCAAACGAAGCCATCATTTTTTATGATTCTCTCCTAACAAGCAAATTTCTTAAAACATGCTGGTTTGTGCATCACTGGCAAGATTTATATGTTTTTTTCTCACTAAAAGATAAACTAGTATCCGTTCTTACACTCATTACATTAATAATAATTATTATTATCACGGATGTTAACATAACAATGTCAATATTAATGTTTTAAAACTTTGATAATTTGCACGACTCTTCTCCCTAATTAGCATGTAATAAAAGCTGAACGCAATTGAAAAAGTACAAAATAAGAGAAAAGACCATTGTGCGGAAAAATACTTCAGCAGCCGCTTTCGAGAATCGTGATTAAGTATGTGGGTTGCCATTTCTAGGTAAAAGGAAGATCTAGCCCCTTCCTAGAACGTATTTTACATCTCTATCTCTGCCCTGTGGCACAACGTACTAATGGGTTTGGCCTCGATTTACTTCATAAAGCTCTTGTCGTTTCCTTCCCTTACCAATTAAAGAAAAATCCGAAATTCCTTTCACTTTGGGCCTAGTAGGTTAGCCGAAATTGTTCACTTCGATCTAGACCCGCAATGTTTGTTTTTAGACTTCATGAAAGTGTTATTCACCCAAAACATATCTTTTTAGTTTAGTGAGAATTGAATCCTCAGTTATTTGTTAGCAATGTAAGATGTGATGAACTCCTTACCTTATAGCGAAACTACAATTGGTACCTCCATTTCAAAAACTATCAACGTTTCACCCTTCATTAGAATCCATTACTAGATTTTGGGCTCCAACATTATTTCAAACGTTGAAATGACCTTATTACCCTTAGTTTTTGGATTGTCAAATAATAACTGGAATTATAAATCACAAAATTAATGATAACTCCCCAACTAATAACAAATAAATAAAAATCCATAATAGGTTAATCCAAAATATAGAACAAATTAAACGGATCTTCCAAAGTTAATCAACCATATAAAGAAGCAGAGAGGCGTCGAGTAATGAGGACTTGAAGTGGAGCTGCTTTCTCCAGAGTCAATCCCAAGCCTTCGCCCATGTCAACGGCTTCATCCAATGGGGTTGCAAAATCAAAGCTATGCAGCAAAGCAGCAAGTGTAAGTTGCATAACTTGTTGGGCAAATGACACTCCAGGGCACATTCTTCTGCCACTACCGAATGGTAGAAGTTCAAAATTCTGGCCTCTAACATCAACCTCCTTGTGGGTCGTAAGAAATCTTTCTGGCTGAAACTTGCAGGGGTCCTTCCAAACATGAGGATCACGATGAATCTTCCAGAGATTTAAAAAAAGACGCGTGCCTGCTGGGACATGGTAGTCTTGAACTTTGCAGTCTTCCATAGACTCGTGTGGAACGGCGAGTGGTGCAGCAGGGTATAAACGCATTGTTTCCTTGAGGATGGCTTGGAGGTAAATCAGGTTTTTCATGTCTGACTCGTTTACTTGCCTTGCCGTACCAATCTGGACATCTAATTCATTTTGCGCCTTCTTCAGGACATGGCGATTGTTAAGAAGTAAAGAGAGAGCCCAAGTCAATGTAATTGCTGTGGTGTCCGAGGCTGCTAATATGAGAGCCTGCAAAATGATACAGATTATATAGAGCATATATTTTTAAAGTTTGAATGAAATGATAAGGTTTTACAATTATGTATACGTACTAGGTTAAAGCCTAAACTGGACTTGAAATATGGCCAAATGCGTAATTCGACACCATATGCTCCTTGTTGTTTATAGATCAATGGAATAGTAACATTAAGCATTGAGGTGTTGTTTATTTAATGAAGTTTTATAACCGAGATAAAGTACTATTTCTCTGCAAAGAAAACTTTTATTGATGTGTTACTAGAGGCATACCAGGCATGTAGCTTTAATGACGGTATCAACATCACGATCAGGAAACTCATTTGGATCATCCAAAAGGAATAACATCACGTCCATGAAGTCTTCCTCTTCCTTCATCTCGCTGGAAACTCTCTTGCTCTTGTGCTCTTCCAACCATCCTTGAACAACAATGTCTAACTTTTTTGCCGATTTCTTCATTAATATTTCGATTCCCCCTATGTCCAACCACCTCAGAAATGGTAGAGCATCTGACACCACGAACTTACCACTCAATTCAAAAAAGTTCGTTAATTCCTCTTTCCATTTGTCATTACTCTCATCACCCTCTTGCAAACTAATTCTCTTTCCCACAATTATCCTTAAAATCACCTTAAGGGTTACGTCCCCAAACCTTCTTTTCATGTCCACCAAAACCCTATCCGAGCTACCACTTTTCTGAACCCATAGCTCATATAACTCTTTTAACGAAGCTTTCACCTCAGATTGTCGTACATGTTTTAGCCTCTCAAGCCGATGGTTGGAGAGAAGCTCTAGTGTTGCTATCTTGCGTACTTGACGCCAGTAGGAGCCATATGGGCTAAAGCCTATCATGGAAAAGTTGTAGCCAAGAAGCTCCAAAGCGATTGTTCTTGGACGATTAGCAAAGACTTTGTCATTGGTAGTGAGACAGTCTTTAGCAATCTCCCAACTGCTTACCACTAAAATTTGATGAACCCCCATCATCATACTGAAGATTGGTCCGTACTTGTCAGCCATTTTTCCTAACACCATGAAAGTTGGTTTTGGGCCTCCTAAGAGGTGTAGATGACCAATAACAGGCCACGCTCCATCGGCTTCTGGTGCTACTCTTTTCTTGCTTCCGTTCCTTTGTACGATTAATCTTGATATCAATAAGAAAGTGTAGAGAAAGACCGCAAAAATTGCAGCGACCGCAACGATTTTTAGTAAAAATTCCATTGATGCTGGGTGTACTTCCGCTGCAAATTACTTCCTTTATGAGAAGTACTAGATATTTTCATGTACGGGTACTTTCTGAGGTGTAATAATTAACTTGCTGTTTATGGATCAGTAATAGTTGATCGATCTATTCAACAAAAGTGGAACATTTGAGTCTAACAACGCTCCACATATTTGCCAATGAAATAATTGAGCCCAAAAAACATTATTACATTCTTGTCAATTTTGGCTGCCGTCCTTATTTTCTAAATCATTAATTATTTATCTGAATATCTGATTTATTGATATTTTAGTGAAGGGGATGGGGACGGGATGGGCTATATGGACCCTATCACCCTAATGCGGTGCGTGACCGCGTCTTCTTATTCTCCGTGTGGTGCGTCTTTTAGCAATTGAAAAAGAAACCTTCATCAGATTTTTGTGCTTTTCAAAGAACTGCTTCTGCAATTTGTTTTGGTAGTTTAAGAATACTGAGCAATCAATTTTTAAAATATTAGAATACCTAATCTGTTAATAAATTTAAAAGATTGATGGATTAAAAAAAAAAAATTACTGGAATTGATTAAATTTTAAAAGAGACGTGGGTAGGTGATTGAGTTTAATGTCAAG